GGGTTTGTCTTGGAAACGGCTGCACCCTCCCCCCCGAGCTGTTTCCCAGAGCTGTTTTCTGTAAGGGCGGGGTTTGAGGCAGGAACCCGCCCTCAGAGTGTGGAGGCATATCCTTATAAAGTGTGCCGTGCCAGCACAGCCAAGGGTGAACCTGAGTGGAGGTGGCTGAAAGGCTTAGAAAAGACAGACAAGAGAATGAAATCTGGGTCTCAGTGGGACACTGCTTCTCTGAGAGACAGCGACCATGCCCACAGCTGTGTCTTTATTTTATAGCAGATGGCACGAGGCAAAGTAAGGGCGTGACCAAGATATTTACAACATTTTCCTGGGTTTCAATCCTACTCCACTACATGCACCTGAACTCTATCAAGCCTACATCACTCAGGCACGTGGGGCCACGTGTTTGGACCATAGGTTCAAGCTTACAACTATAGCTGTTGGCTATAATTGTGCTGGGAGGGCCCTGCCCTCCAAGCTGGGACTTGCATGTGGCAATGAGAGGACTGTGCCCTCTCATCAGTCCAAGGCTTGAACCTGTCCAAAACACTGTAGCAGCTCCCCACAATAAAGTTTTAATACATTATATTAGAGCTTGTGGTGGTACTGTTTTACCCACAGCGTCTACAGGAATTGCTGCAAATTTACTTCTCGGTGGAAGAACCATTCATTCCCAATCTAAATGACCAATTCAAGCACTCTGAAAGTGTTTTCACTCTTAATGTGGTGTACAGGGAGATATTAGAATAAGTTTAATCAATTTATCAGTCACTGTTTGTATCACTGTTGTTTTTATATCATGTTTTTGTTGTTTTCATATCATGTTTTTATTGTTTTCATATCATGTTTTTGTCGTTTTTATATGATGCCTCTGTTGTTGTTATATCCTTTTGTTACTATTAATTTATTAATCAATTTATATATTCTTTTCATATACATTTTACTAATTTCCTTTCATTTCTCACACTTCTATTATAGAGAAAGGGCAAATAGCAATATTAAAATATTTCCACTAATTAATTCCCTTTTAAAAAATATATATATTTTATTGATTTTTTACAGAAGGAAGAGGGATAGAGAGTTAGAAACATCGATGAGAGAGAAACATCGATCAGCTGCCTCCTGCACACTCCCCACTGGGGATGTGCCTGCAACCAAGGTACATGCCCTTGACTGGAATCGAACCTGAGATCCTTGAGTCTGCAGGCCGATGCTCTATCCACTGAGCCAAACCAGTTAGGGCAATTAATTCCCTTTTAATGTGCACAAATTTCATGCACCAGGCTACTAGTTGCTGTATAGCATCTCATTGTGTGAATATATCTCAATTTACCTGTCCATTTTAGCACTGGTAGGCATTTTGAGTGATTTCCCACTTAAAGTATTATAAATTTTGCAGTCATGAACATTTTAGTGCTTGTCTTTGGTGCACATCATACACATTTCTGTTGGGTTTATATATCTAAGAGTGGAATTGCACAAATCCATAGGATTATAACACAAATTTTTGAGTTGTTGTCTCCCTCTCTTTGTATTCCAAGCATATCTCCCATATGCTGGCAGCAGTTTCTAAAACCACTTTGTAGGGTTCTCCTTTAGTGAGATCAGTGGGAGAGAAATCAGAAAAAAAAAATCAATTTCTCTGCTTTTCAGTGCTGGACAGTTTCAGTTGGTACCAGAGTTTTAAAAACTTAACAAATTGTTTTTTCCAGACAGAGCACTGAAAAACTGGCTTGATTTTGCTATTCAAAACCATCCTTCACATATCCACAAAGAGTTAGCATTTTCTTGTTCTAAAATCTACATTATCTGATATTAACAACAGTCACTGCAGCATTCTTCTGATTAGTGTCAGCTAGTAGATCTTTCTTCCATCCTTTTATTTTTTTTAACCTATCTATATCATTATATTTATAGTGGGTTTCATGTAGACAGTATATGGTTGAATCTTGGTTTTTTAATATCCCATATGGAATGTTAAGAGCATTTACAATTAATGTAATTATTGATTTAGTTGAATTTAGATCTATTATTTAGGTATTTGTTTTCTGTTTTCCCCCTGTTTAATCCCTGCCCCTGGTTCCTCTCCTTTCTTGACTTCTTTTTGATTACTCAATATTTTTAGTATTCCATTTTAACTTAACTACTGGTTGTGTGTTTTTGTTTTGTTTTCTGTTATATCTCTTTGTATTACTTTTTTTAGTAGATACTTTGGGAATTTCTGGATACATGTCTAACCTTTCACAGTCTACTTAGAGTTACTATTATACCACTTCAAGTAAAATGTTGAAGCCTTACTAGCATATAGGTCCATTTGCCTGCCTAAGTTTAAATTAATTGTCTTATGTAGGACATCTACATATATTGAAACCCCTTTCAACAATCATACATATTTTAAAGAACTTAGGAGGACAAAAGTCTATGCAGTTACCAAGATGGCCATTCCTTGTGCTCTCCCTTCATTCCTGAAGTCCCAAGTTTCCTGGTATAATTTCCCTTCAACTGGAAAAACTTTTTGTTGTTGTTAATCCTCACCTGAAGATATTTTTCCTTCACCATTTCTTTTTTTTTTTTAATAAATTTTATTGATTTTTCACAGAGAGGAAGGAGAAGGACAGAGAGTTAAAAACATCGATGAGAGAGAAACATCGATCAGCTGCCTCCCGCACACCCCCAACTGGGGATATGCCTGCAACCAAGGCACTTGCCCCTGACCGGAATCGAACCCGGGACCCTTCAGTCTGCAGGCCGACGCTCTATCCACTGAGCCAAAAAGGTTAGGGCTTCACCATTTCTTTTAAGTCAACTTCCTGGCAACAAATTCTTAGAGAGTTTCTTTACTGCTGAGAATATCTTTATTTTGCTTTAATTCCTGGAAGATATTTTTACTGGATATAGAATTATGTGTTGACAATTCTTTTCTTTCAACACTCTGAAGATATTGTTTACTGTCTTCTGACCTCCGTGGCTTCTGAGGAGAAATCTGTAGTTATTTAAATCATCAGTTTCTCCATATGTAATGAGTCATTTTGTTCAGGCTGACTTTAAGATTTTTTATTTTAAGCAGTTTGGTTATTATGTGTGTGGGTATTGTTTCATTTTTTCTTTAAAAATATATCTTTTTTTATTTCAAAGAGGAAGGGAGAGGGAGAGATAGAAACATCAATGATGAGAGAGAATCATTGATTGGCTGCCTCCTGCACGTCCCCTACTAGGGATCAAGCCCGCAACCCTAGCAGGTGCTCTTGACTGGAATCCAACCTGGGACCCTTCAGTGCGCAGGCTGATGCTCTATCCACTGAGCCAAACCACCTCAGGCTGGATATGGTTTTAATGTGCTTTGTTTGTTTTTCCCTTTTAGGGATTCACAGTGCTTCTTGAATCTCTATGTGTTTTGCCACATTTGGGAAGTTTTCAGTTATTATTTCTTCAAATACATTTTTTCTATACCAATCTCCCTTCCCAGTGGTGCTCAAATGACACATGGTTTCCATTTTTATATTATTACACAGATTACTGATGCTCTGTTCATTTTAAAATTTTAATATTTTTCCTCTCTGTTCTTCAGATTGGATTTCTCTTGCTCTATCATCAGGTTCACAGACTTTTTCCTCTGTGGTCTCTATTCTGCTATGAATTTTTTAATGGGGATTTAGATGTCTGCATCATCCCATATGGTCTGTGTAGCTTTGAGAGAGCAGAGCCTGGTGCAGGGCCAGGAGAAGAAAATGAAAAAGAAACAGCACAAAACAAAAACGGGTATTTCCTCTGTATTCTCGGGCTCACTGACTGGATCCCTTTTCTTGGTTCTCTGGCTAAACAGAGGGGATTTCTTTTAGGGTTTTTGTTTTATTCACTCACTGTGCAGTTCCATGACTCAGGCTACTACTCTGGGGACAAAGCCAACAGATAAAGGAGATTTTTTAAAAAGACACAAAACAGGAAACTCCCTTCTTCATGGGAGAAATGCCAATCTGCCTGCTATTTCTATTTGTTTTTTACTTTTGAGTCCTCAGGTAGTTCTTTTTTAGTTCTGTCCAGGTATTTAGTTGTGATCAATGGAGGAAATAGGCTATGGTGGGCTTACTCCATTTTGACTGGCACCAAGAATCAGGTTACGTTACTGTTTTCTAAGCTTTTTCACAAATATACTCATTTATCAATGATTTCTCAAGCACTATGTGCTAGGCTCTGTGCTAGGTTCCAGGTATATAAGAGAGAGCTAGACAGACACTGTGCTAACAGCCTAGCAAGGAAGAATGACAGTGAATAAGCAAGCACACAAGGCATGAGTATCACTTAGGAGAAGCAGCAAAGCTACAGCAGGAAAGGGAACCTAAGGAAGGCCTCCCTGAGGAAGTGATGTTTAAGCTGAGAACCAATGGAGGAGTGTGAGCCAAGACCAGTGCACTTTCAGGCCTTGAGAAGAGCAAGAGGTGGCATATTCTAGAAACTGAAAAGGAGGTCTCAGTGAACATATACTAGGTAGTTAGAGGAGTGTGACAGAAGATGGGGAGGTCAGGAGAGGAGGTCATGTGCATCTTTGCAGACGATCTTTGAGATTTTTAATTTAGTCCTCTTGGGAAAATGAGAAGCAAAACAAACCCATAATTTTAATATTTTTGGAATCTGACCCCATTTCACAGATCGGGGGAAGAAGGCTCAGAAAGGTAGGCTAGGGCATAGTATTTTACAGATGAAGCAAGAAGACCCAGAAGGGAGATTTATGTGAACCACAGAAGGAATAAATGGTAGAAAACTGACTTGTAGCCAAATATTCAACTCCCTGGTTGGTCAGTGCTATTTCTTCCACTCTCACTTGCTCCAGGACGTCTCATTGTCACTTTTGCAAGCACCAAGAGCTTGGTTGTGTAGCATCTTTTTCTTCACCTGTTTATCTTTGCAGTGCAGAAAAGGTGCGGGGTGGATGACTGCAGCTGTGCACGCATGTGTGCATGCATGTGTTTGCATATTCCCAACACTGGTAACATTTCTGTTTCTGGCAATTTGTCCAGCAAAGTGATCCATCAATTCACATCCCCTGGGGAATTCACTGTGTTTGCTGAGTGCACAACTAGTGAGTGGCATGGGATGGCTCAGAAGCAAGTGACAATTGAGACAAGATGAAGAGACTCAGTGTGACTGGGTGCTCTGGCCTGTCCAAATCAGGAGCCAGCCCTCTCTGCCAGGTTGTCTTCGGGGACCCTATGTGGATTCAGGTGGAGCTCGATGGAGGTGCGTCTGCAGAAATGGTCAAGGTCAAGGTCAAGGCAACCTTGATATCACCCAAATTTATCCATCCAACTCCCAGGCTGTAATAAATACTAACAGCAATCGCTTATCAGTTATTTAATTATTCATTTGTTTAGCACCTCATGTGTGCCAGGAACTGATCTAAGTATTTTACATATACTGGCCCACCCAGTATACTATTATTATCTCCATTTTACAGATGAAGAAATGGAGGAAAGGTTCAGAATCAAAGGTTCAAATTCTCAGGCTATTAAGCTAGTAAGAGCTTCCAGCTTTTCGAAGGTGGTTCTTTGTATGCCCATAGTCCTATCTCAAGAATTTAACTTATAAGACACTCCTTGCTGGGGGTATTTAAATAGGACTGGGAGTGCTACCAACTGGGCCCGAGCCCATCTCAATGCAGCCAGCATTGACCAATTTGGTCCAATTATGTTGTTCTAAGTCAGGGCTCATATTCGGCTGCACACACTGCTACAGCCATAGCAGCTGTTGTGACTGGTGTCCATTCTCATTGGTCACAGTTTCTTTTCTGATTGGTCACAAAAGCCATTCTAATCATGTCCATTCTGATTAGTCAAAGTGTCCATTCTGATTGGTCATAGCAACGTTTCTCATTGGTCACAATGTCCATTCTGATTGGTCACAGCATCCATTCTGATTGGTCACAGTGTTCATTGTGATTGGTAACAGCATCTAATCTATTCTGATTGGTCACAGTATCTATTCTGATTTATCAGAACACCCATTCAAATTGGTTCGTACCCATGCAGTTTCAGTGTTAAATATTTTGAATACCACCCCTTCTCTCAGTAGAGACCCTCCCAACTAAGATCCATCCTCACCCAAGCCAGCATCTTTCCTCAAGGCACAGGTCCAAATTGAGATCTAGATAGACCTCACGTGACCTCACACTACCTGAAGCCTCATTCAGAGCAGTGACTTACAGGAACTCTAACCAGGCTTTACATACAGTACTTGGGACTCCTGTCTGTGTGGTGTGTTTGTTGGCTGAAGATGGTGGCTGTGTGTAACTGGAGAAGCTTAAAATAATCCTTCATGTATTTATTCATTCTACAAATATAATACGGGAAAGGCAGCAGTAAACCTGAAAGTCAGAATTCCTGCTTTCGAGGGCTTACATCATCATCATCATCATTGTCATCATCATCATCATCATCATCATCATCTTTATCATTACCATCATCATCACTAAACAAGAAACACACTCGCCTAATTTCTTTCGGAAAGAATCCTAATTTGTTGGTTGATATCATATTTTAAGAGTCATCCACAATATTTAGCATTCAGTAAGGACAACCAGCCTTAACCTGTAAGGGAGCACCATCACGATGTCAACAGGCTGAGTTCTCCTGTGGACAGGGTTTCTGGCAGTTAGCTGTGGGAGCAGAAGGAAATGGCTTCACCTGCTCCTGCCTGAAACAAGACTTGAGGTTAATCCTCATGCATATACATCAGCTATACCCTTAGCCTTCCCTTTTTAGCCTTCCTCCCTACAAAAATATGGCAACAAGTAATCTAATACTTTTATTACAAACTTTTAAGTTTTTAGGTAATACATGCATAGTATAAATAAATTAGAATATACAAATGAGCAGAGAGGACCCAAAACTCATGAATCCAATACTCAGAGATAATCACTGTTAATATTCAGGGGCAGGGTATATCCTTACTTACGTCTTTATAGCTATATCCATATCCATGTCGATTCCCAGAATCTCACTTCAGAGCTTGAGTTTGAATTATCTCAGTATAATCAACTACATGGTTGTTATCACATTCCTAAATGTTTCTTCCCCACCTAGAAATGGAGGTGACTTACACTGTGCTATCAGATAACACAACCCTGGCTGACCCACCACACACCGCCCTGCTCCCCTACAACCTCACCCTGGACAGAGCAGCCCAGCAGGGGGTGGGTCCAGGGATGCACCACCTGGAGACCCGAGCCACCAGCAACACCACCACCTCTGCACCCTCCACAAACATCACGGTCCACTTCATGAAACCTCTGTCAGGGCCGCAGGCCTCCTGGGCTTCTGACCACTTGGAGCTTGGACAGGATCTACTGGTCAACATCTCAGTGGCTCATGGCATCCCAGAAGAGCTGACCTTTGAGGCAGCAGGACTCAATGCATCCTTCTCCCATGAGGGAGAGAGCCTTGGGCGGCCATCTGGGATTTACCATGTGGCAGTTCCTCTTGAAGGTACTTGGCATTGGTAGCTCCCTTCCAAATCTCCCTCCTCTTCCCTTCCTAACTTAGAATCCAGGCTCCTGCCAGCCAGTTTCCAGGGTGTCCTGGACACAAGCATGGTTAAGAGCATCCAACCTGAGTCACAAAACAAGACAGAGACAGATATTATCTGTCCTCATGAGCGTGTTGTGACAGGGGTTCTCAACTTTGGCACTTCAGACATTGGGGACTGGATCATTCTTGGTTGTGGAGGCTGTTCTGTGCATTATAGGATGTTTAGTAGCATCTCTGGCTTCTATTCCTTAGATGCCAGTAGCACCAGCCTCCCAAGTCTTGGCAACCAAAAACATCTCCAGACAAAGCCAACTGTCCCTTGGGGAACAAAATCACCCTCACTGAGAACCATTGGGGGAGAGCAGGAGTATTCCAATTTCTTCCATCATTTCTAGAAAATAGTGTGTTTGGGAAACTGCAGCCCATGCCCTTAGGGGCAAGAGAGGTAAACACTGAAGCATGGGAAGAGAAGAGAGAGGGACAAGAGAAGAAGTGTCATAATTCTTACTGGAATAGAGACAGGGCAACTGACTGGCTGGCGGACAGACTGGCTGGCACCAGCCAGGGGAGGAGACCACACATACATTTGCATTTAATATAAAAGAACAGGGTCCTTGAGGGCAGTGTGGTCAGGTTAGCAGGCAGGAATGTGATGAAGGCCCAGAGTCTTCAGCTCACTCAGGACCCTGCCTACAGCATCCTCTGCCCTCGATCTCAGAGGTGTGCAAAATAGAGGGTAATATTATGCAGGTGTAGGCCTACCATGCTGTCAGTAAGGGATTTGGCAAAAGAGATGACAGAAAAGACAGTAGATTCAAGAAGAAAAACATAGGAACTTTGCCAGATAACAAAAGTCCAGTTTGGAACAGGAAGAAGCCAAAATGAAATGATGATGGAAACTATACATAATAAATAGACTATAATTCAAATGCAAATTAATTTTTGTCTCCTATAAAAGTTACTCAGGGGATAATAGATAAATTTTAAGCATGCCCAGTGACTTTATGGCTTACTCTTAGATCAAGGGTGGGGAACACCCAGCCCGCTGGCCATATAAGGTCCACAAAATCACTTGGTCTGGCCCTGCCAAGGCATTAGGGGTGAGTTAATTAAATGTTTGACCAAAGATAGCAGGCTAATTTTGTTGTTGTTAATCCTCGTCTGAGGATATTTTTCCATTGATTCTTAGAGATAGTGGAAGGGCGGGAGAGAAACAGAGAGAGAAAAACATCTATGTGAGAGAAACACATTGATTAGTTGCCTCCCGCATCCGCCCCGACTGGGGCTGGGGATAAGCCTGGAACCCAGGTATGTGCCCTTGACCGGAATCAAACTTGGGACCCTTCAATTCATGAGCCGTCACTCTATCCAGTGAGCCAAACCAGCTGGGGCAGCAGGCTAATTTTTAAGTTGATAATTTTGTATGGCCCACAAATAATGTTTTAAATATCCAATGGCAGTAAAAAAAGGTTCCCCACCTCTGTCTTAGAAGGTAAGCAGTCTTCTCCCCACAAGAAAAACAGACCTGGATGACTCCAGTGATGAAGGGGGCGAGGAGGAAGGCAAGGGAACAGGTAGGACAGGAAGGTCTCACTTGGAGGGGCTGGCCCAGTCCTGGCTGGCCTTGGTCTCAGGGCCCACCACATATTTGCAACTATCTCTGTAAGAGCTTCTCTGGGCTCTCAAGGCCCCGGGCTGGGCCCCTCTGCTCCAGGGCTGGGTGCTGGTCACATCCTCCCACATGCCTCTTTCTTTACTACCAAAGAGGTGTCTTTAGCTCACTGGTAAACATAATGGTTTGCTTTTGATCATTTCCCTATGACCTGAATGTTTGCTATGTTCCCTAAACCATTTCCAAAGACAGGCAGATTCCCCAAGATCTTCAGCATACCTTGTGACTTTGTCCTTTGGCAACTTTATCAATACCACCAAAGTCTGACACCTGTTCCGACTGTGTTCACAGCTCCTTCCAGTCTCCAAGAATTATCTGGAACAAATGCTGAGGAAAAGAATGTGAGTATTTTTAAAAACACTTAACCTCACAAGAAAAAGATGTCCAAGCACTCTGTTTTTTGGAGGTTTTTGTTTTTTGGGTTTTTTTGGTTCTGGTTTTTCAGAACACTAGGAATCACCGATATTTCTTCTGCTTGAAGAGAGACCCAGATGGATTGAAATTAAACAAAGCATGCTATTTGTGTTATAAATCAATAGTAAGATATCTAGGATATGTACATATCTTTTAGCCATCTTGGAAATTAAACATCACACTTCTAAAAAAATATTAATGGGTAAAAGAAAAAAATCACAAGGAAAATTTAAATATATTTTTGAGTGATAATGACAATATAACCTACCCAAATTTGTGGGATGCAACCAAGGCAGTGCTCAGAGGCAAATTTATTTCTTTTAATATGTATATCAGAAAATAGGCTTGCTTCTTACAGGGCTTTGATATTTCATCTTCAGTTAACACTTTGAGATGAGATCTGCCTCTCTTTTCTCATTAGCTATTATAATTAAAGTACTACTGCTTGGTCCCAATTCCATGATAAAAGTGCATACATGGGCAATGTGATGGTTTTTATAGCAAGACTAAGTCTTCAACTCCTTGCTGTTGACATTGCTCATGCATGCATTTATTCAATAACAAAGACTTATTTTGCATCTACAATGTTCAAGGCTTAGTATTAGGGGCTGGAGATACAATGGTGAATAAAAAGACATGATCCTGCCTTCATGAACCTTACTGGGTGAGATTAACAAACAAATTAGCATATAACTAGGAATTTTGATATGTCTAACTAGAACCAATAGGGTGCAATGAAAGCAACTAACAGAGGGTGATCTAGCAAATGTGATTAGACAAGGACTTTTTTTAAAATTCTTTATTGTTTAAAGTATTCCATATGTCTCCTTTTCCCCCATTGACCTCTCCCTGGACGTTCCCACCCCAGATAAGGAGTCTTAAGAGGTGACATTTAAGGGGGAACCTACTGGAAAGTAGAACAAGAGCTTTCTGGGTGCATGGATTAGAGGGCTCTGAGGCCTGTGTGGAGGAGGGAGAGGATGTAGAAGATAACACAGAGATGGACAGACGTCAGATCACATGGGGTCTAAGGTGCCAAGGCAAGAGGTTTTGGGTTTTATTATCAGGCCATGGGAGACCATGGGGGTTGAATTCTGCTGTAGCCTCATGTTATCCAGGTCAAGCACTATGAGCATAAACTGTTTAACAGGTCCTTCCAGAACTGACTCCAGGAACACACTGTATGCTGGCTGATCCCTCTTCCTAGAATCCACATGCTCTCCATTGTTGCCAGCTCACCTTCACTCCTCCTCACAGCAGCTCTCTTTGGGGTCCAGTCCTCTGGGGAAGCTTGTCCTGATGCCAGCTGTCTGCTTTGTAGAGGCAACAGCTCGGTGCCCTCCTCTGCACTAGACACAAGAGGAAACGCATCACTGGTGTCTCTCATTTGATCCACAGCAATCCCGGGAATCAGATGTTATCAAACCCTTGGAGAGACAGAAGCTAAGAGGCTTAGATACTGGCCAGAGGTTTCAGGGCCAATGATTCAGCCTGAGATCTGGCTGCCCCAAGGCCTACATTCTTAACTTAATGCCCCCCTCTCATACATTCTCATAATCTCCTGGGCCCCCTCTCCTGCAGCAGTGAGCACTCTGTGTTTTAATCGTTTCCTTGTCTGTCTTCCCTACTAAATGGAAGGACAGAGGCCTGGTCTATATTCCTGTTTGTCTAGGCATCAAGCACGGGGCCTGGCTAGAGCAGGTTCTGATAATGCAGTTGAACACATGGTGGACCTTTAGCACTGAGCCCACATTTCAACTAAAGTTACTTACCCAGTGACCATCCCAAGGGGAACCAGACAGATCAGACAAGGTCTGTCTCCATTCCACACCTTGGCACAATTGCTCTGAGTAGAGAGTGGGATGCTAACTGTGGAGAAGTGTCTTACAAACCAGCTGCTTTTTCTGCAGAGAGATAAAGGGGATGTGGAGGTATACATGGAACCTGGTCTATGTGGATCCTTTCACGACAGTGACTCTGCGCTGGCTGGACAGTGACAAGGATTTACGCTTCCACTGGTCATGTGGTAGGTGGCGTTAGAGCTCTGCAGCTGTCCTATCTCACCACAAAGTGATGGATAATGGTTAGCTTTGCTGTTCTTTTTCTTAACCTTCACACCGGCATACTCATGCCTGACATTTTGTGTACATTGTATATGCCAGGGCTGCAAATTCCAATGGAAATAAGAGGTAACAGTGAAAAACCAAGGTGGGGTTGGTCCTAGAGGCACGCAACAAGGAGATGCATTTATCTGTAGAGAATTTAAGAACTATAACAAACCTGAAAGTCGGTCTGCTTTTGTATTATCACTACAAACAATGCCAGTGGCAAAATGCTCCTCCCTCTTTGGTGGATCCTTCCTTTCACCTCCATGCCTTAGAACAGCGGTTCTCAACCTGTGGGTCGCGACCCCTTTGGCAGTCGAACGACCTTTTCACAGGGGTCGCCTAAGACCATCCTGCATATCAGATATTTACATTACGATTCATCACAGTAGCAACATTACAGTTATGAAGTAGCAACGAAAATAATTTTATGGTTGGGTCACAACATGAGGAACTGTATTTAAAGGGCCAGAAGGTTGAGAACCACTGCCTTAGAAGAAGAAAGTGATGAAGCATTTTCTGGCAAACCAAAATTGTAACAATAGTGCTTATTTTTAAGAAATGGTTGTCCTGGTCCTGGCTGGGTATCTCCCTTGGTTAGAGCACCATCCAATATGCTAAGGTTGCAGGTTTAATCCTGGTCAGGGCACATACAAGAATCAATCAGTGAATACATAAATGAGTGAAAAACAAATCGATGTGTTTTTTTTTTCTCTCCCTCTCTTTCTTTCCTCCCTCCCTTTCTCTAAAAATAAATAATTTTTAAAAGTTACAACAACAAAAAAAGAAATGGTTGTCCTTTTCATAAGGATATATTCAAGCTACATACATATTTTTTAGAAAGAAAATGAATGTCATTCATACTGTACATATTTCATTTGCTACCCTTTTTAATTGAACAATATATCCTACATACTTCAATGTCACAGTACCTTTGTCTCCATTTTGATATTCATAGTAGTTGCATAATGGACTGTCAATTAATGCATGATCATTTATTCACGATTGCCTTCTTTTTGGACATTTTGGCCATTTTCAAATTATTTGCCTTTACAAACACTGTAATGAACATCTGTATAGCTGAATCTTAATTTGTATCAGTGGTTACTTTCATAAATACATTTCTAGAAATGCAATAACTGGGTCAAAGTCATGAAATTTGAAGGTTTTTTTTTTTTTGGTTGGTGTTGTTAATCCTCACCTGAGGATATTTTTTCCATTGGTTTTTAAAGAGAGTGGAAGGGAGAGGGAGAGTCAGAGAGAGAAAAACATCTATGTGAGAGAGACACATCGATTGGTTGCCTCCTGAGTTACATGCCCTTGACCAGAATTGAACCTGTGACCCTTCAGTCTGAGGGCCGAGGCTTTAACCACTGAGCAACTGGCTAGGGCTAAAATTTTAAGGCTTTTGACATTAATTATTAAGTGGTCAGAATGTCCTTTTGAGTATTAGTTCTTTTATCTAAATTAATAAAGGATACCATGCAGAGTTTAGGTAATTGAGCTGATGACCTGACCCCTGGACATGTCTTCGGAATGACTATCATATTTGGGGCAGGGGATAAACATCAATAAACAAATTTGAAGGGCAAAGAATACAGAGATTTATTGAGCTGGTTTCATAAAGCAGAAAATGACACTGCAGCCTCCCAGATGGAGGGACAGCTCCCCAAGTCCCCAGTGCACCCCACAGTGACATACAGCTGTGGACAATTACTTCCATGTGGAGTGAGAAATACACCAGTGACAAAAAGTGCCCTGGACATTCTCCTAGGCGGGCACCTCTCATTATATGCCAGCCTGCTCACCAGCGCAAGTTACTGGCACAAAACAAGGCAACATATTCTGCAGGTTTGCTCAGAGTCTAGGTGAAGCACAGGTCATTTTCCCAGAAGTATCTTTCTGCAGTACCATTCCTGCAACCTGCAAGTGAAATTTTTAAAAAATATATATCAAAATCTCCATTTGAAGCTGATTTTCTTATCTATGACCCTTTTCTTCTAAAAACCCCAAACCAGAAGGTAGCCACATGTGTGAAGTTCAGAATTCCTGGATGGACAGTGTTTGCCCATCTCTGTTTCTCAGGCCATTGCTGGGCTCAGTGGAACGACTGTGTTGAGAGGCAGCTGCTTTGCACAGACCAGAGGGAGCTGGTGGTCCCGCCGTCCTGCCTGCCACCACCCAATTCTGCAGTCACCCTGCACCTGGCCATCTGGAGAGGCCAGGAGCTGGAGAAGCAGGAGGAGCAGTGCCTTTATGTGTCCGCCCCCCTGGAACTCAAGCCTCTAGTCAGGTGGGGCTGAGAGAGCGAACTCCTGCAGTGATGAATTCATTCATCATTCAGGCACCATTTACTGAGAACCAACCTCGTCTGGCATTGACTTAGAGCAGGGCTTACAGTGGTGGTCAAAACCAGACCCGGTCTCAGTTCTTATAGGGTTACTACCTTGTGGTCAGCAATGATTCGAAAATGAATGAAAGGAGAGAACATACTTCTATGACAACTTTCCCAACTTGGGGTCAGGGAAGGCTTCCCTCAACAGAGATGAGAAGCGTGAAGAGGAATTAAGTTGGCCAGGGAAAAAGGGACTGGGAAGGAAACAGAGTGATAAAGGAGGGAGCACAGAACAACCTGGACGTGAAAGAGGCTGGTGTGGGAAAGAGAGGCAAGAAGAAACTGAAGAGTAGGCAGGGCCTTGCAGTCATGTCAAAGACAGGATTTTGGTCTTTATCCTAAGAGTTTGGGAAAGCCATGCAAGAGTTTTAAGCAGGTTCAGGACATGATCACGTTTTGCTTCAAAATGCTCTGGTAGCAGAGTGGAGGAGGGCAAGAGAGAACTCAGGGAGATTGCTTAGGCTCTTGCAGGAATCTAGGTGAGAGCTCAAGATGGCTTGGTCTATCAGCCAGGTCCCTGCAGGAAGCAGATGGCTCACTCAGACCAGGAGTTGATGAGAACTGGATGAGAGTCTATTTACAGATGTGGGCAGAAATGAGGGAACAACCTGGGGATGACAATGCAGAACTACAACAGGGAAAAGCCATTATCTCTCTTACGAATGCAGAAGTAAAGGGGGTGGGGGGTGGCGTTACTAGAAACCTCGAGGATCTGCAGCTTGCAAGAGGCGCCCCCCAACAGGAGCTATGGTCTTGGCTGGAGGAACATAGCCTCTGCCAGCTGCAGCCCACCAGGGGAAGTTGTAAGTAAATAAATACCTCAGCCTCTGTCCTCTCACCCCCAAACACCAGCCAATGCTTCCTATTGGCTAAGCCCAACAGGAAGCCAGAGGGTGCAGGAGCCCAGGTGATGCAGTCTACAGGGACCAGTCTCCTAGTACACAGAGCCCTGGAGTTGATGGACAGTGGGCTGCAGGGTAAACGGAGAATGTCTGGCACATTCGTCCTAGGATAGACATGAAGACAGGAGTAGGGAGATCTAAAGAGCTGCTTTCAAGTTATAACTGAAAGGACCTGGGAATGGATTGAACACACAGCAAGTGCCAAAGTAATTCCCACTGGTTCAAGGGAGGGGTATTATAGAGAAAGCCCAGGATTCAAATTAAGATGTGTTGGTTCACATTGCATCCCCCTACTTAGGAGGATGTCACTGAAACAACTCATATATAAGCTCCCCAATCTGGTTTGCTGGTCTGTATATGGGGATTCTAATATGACACTCATAGGGTTGTGGATAAGCTAATAACAATGGAAGTCATGTATAAACTGTGGCATGCATGCTATAAAATCAGAGCATTCATTTATTATTATTAGAATGAGGAAGAATCATGGACAATGCCTGCTCTAATCCCCTCACAAGGAAACTGAGGCTGAGAGTTCATGCAAGGTGTCAGGGAGAGAATTCAAGGCCAGCGTCCTATCTCAGTCTTACACACTTTCCATATCATTACCCTGGGCAGTGCATGAAATGGAAATTCAGTCAGGCACAAATCACTCCACCTTCATGGCCAAAGCTATTTCCCAGTTTGGTTTGGGGTGGGGGTTGCTTTTATTCCATCTTTCACTTGAAAAAAGGCCCTTTCTCACCTTCTCAAAGGACTGAGAACAACTGGACAAAAGACCAGGCAGGTAGGTGGCCACGACGTCTGAATGAGCTTTCTCACTCTGTTCTCTGTCTGCCTTTCAGCTGTGAGAAGAACTGCGGGCCAGTGAATGCCAGCGAAGATGTTATGCTCAGGGTCTCCATGGGGAACGACTCCCCAGCAGCCATGTTCAGCTGGTATTTAGATAACACTCCACTAGAGAAGGTGAGGACACTGGCAACCACTCAAAAATGGAAAAGTTTCCCCACTTTGATTTCTCATATGCCCAGGACTAAGCTGGGGTGGGTCAACTCCACCCAGAGCTGGTGGAGGGGGAGTAAAGGGGTAGGGCATATTCCCCAAAGGAAAACCAGGGCATTGGTCAGAGAAAGAATGGATGCCTGGGAGCAAAAACAGCGGGGAAACACCACCGCAGATGCTGTTGGTGCCCCAGCCCTGTGGCCAGTAACTGTGCAGCTTATGTGCTCCAGAGCTCCCTGTGGGATCAGGCTGAGGCTGGACACCACCTGAGACCACTTCTTTGCCTAGTTTCATTCTCCACCCTATTCTGCTTCCTTCCCTCCCCTACTGGTTTTCCCTAAGAGCCCTCCCTCAATAAACCATCTGCAGGTGAATCCTCATCTCAGGCTGTGCTTCTAGGGAACCTGACCTAGGACAATACCCTGACCAGGCTGGAGACTGCACATCCAGGCTGACCTCAGGAAGCACGCAGTGTCTGCTACTCATCCATCAGAATAAATCTGAAAGGCCTCTCAGGGTTAGAAACCAGGGCCCTGCTGAGGTCTAGTGGCCTGACTGTAAACTCAGGGGCTCTGGACTGTGCTCTCTTTCAGATCCAGCCCCTCCCAGCAGCCTGTAGACTCCGAGGATTTTGGCCAAGATCTTTAATCCTCCTCCAGAGCAACACATCCACCCTGCTGCTCAACAGCTCCCTGCTGCAGGCCTGCAGCCAGGCCAGCCGCATCCAAGTCACAGGTGGGAAGGCCTCCCTCAGTCTCTTGTCATGGATTCGGTCTGTTGCAGAAAAGGAGCCAAGAAAAACCCAGAAGCCTGAAATATGGAACATCAGGCTCTGGTGTGCATCCCATCGACCACCACTTTCTAGCTTGGAGGCCTTTAAACAAGGGATTTAACCTCTCTGTGCCTCAGTTTCCACACATGTAAAGTAGGTGTACTAGAATCACCTGCCTCCTAATTGTATGATGCAGGGTACATGAGACAACACCAGCGGTGCAAACAGATCATCCTGGGGTCGTGCAGCCTGCATGTCTTGCCAGGACGATTCAGCACTTTTTACTTAAAACAAGCCCAGTGCGCAGGGCAATGTAGATTCTCAAAAAGATAAATACTGAGGGTGAGAATTCTTTTTCTGAATGTATTCCTTTGACTCAGTATTTCTCAAAGTGGCTCATAGACCACCCACACTGGGATAACCTGAGGTACTAATATAGAATGCACACCCCTGGGTTTACCCCCCAAACTTTCTGAATTAAGTCCAGGCCAAGGAATGAGTTTTAATTAAGATTCTCTTTATGCCCAGTTCTTCCAGGTGCATACTCTTTTTGAAAAAACTAGGAGATTATGCCAGGTGATGCGGGATGTTGGTGCAGCAGGTCAACTGGGAGGTGGTGGGGGTTGCTATTCTCAATGCTGTGGGGCCTGGAAAGAGCATGGTCTCAGGTGGGATCAGCCTGTTTCCAGATCCTGACTGTGGCCCTACCTCGCTGAATGACCTTGAGCAAGTCATTGCTCCCAGTATACTCCCTCCTCATCAAACTCTGAGGAAGCTCCATTTTTACAGCCCCATTTTACAGATGAGGAACTGACTCTCAAAAGCTTAAGTCCAAGGTCACATGGCTAATAAATGGCAGAACTAGGATTCAAGCTTAGGTCTGTCTGAATCTGTTCTTCCATCTCTGCCCAATTTCTCAAAGTGAGATGCTGGGATGTCCTGCATCAGGGCATCTGTTAGATTTCCAGATTTCTGGGCCCATCCCAGAACCTCCAGAGAGGTCTGAGGCTCAGGGTCCAGAGAGGGACTTGGGAATCTGCATGTTCAGCAAGTTTCCCAGATGATCCCAAAGCATGGTGGGGTTAGTGTGACCCACACAGCCCCTAAACACCCTTTGTCTTCCCTCCCAGCAATGACCAGGCACGTCTACGGGGAGGACACCTATGTTATCAGCTCTCTGTCTCCCCCCGAGGTGCCACCTGCATCATTGCCCCTGAGGAGGGCACCGTTCTAACAAGCTTCGCCATCTTCTGCAACACCTCCGCGGTCCTGGGCCCTCTGGAGTACTGCTTCTGTCTGGAATCAGGTACTGGCCAAGGCTAGGCTCCTCCCTCAGCACTCGGGCTCCTCCTTTCCCAGAACAGGGCCTGTCTCTCTCTGGAAGCTGCAAAGAATATGTTCCATGTATGAGAGAGGTTTGCAAGATGAAAATCCCATCCCCACTGCACAATACCCTGTCACCACAACCCAACCCAGGACAGCAGTAGGGCATCAGCAGGAGAGATGGGGTGAGCAGCCACACTGCATCTGTTCTCCAGTTTAGGGATGGTTGATCCTTGGAGAGCTCATATGCATCTTTGTCTCCTCCCAGTGGGTTTTGGCATTTTGGGACCCTCCCATGAGCTCTGAAAATATTCTAGTTAGATTGAAACTTTCTTCCAAACCTGGACATCAGGAGTGTTGCTGGGGCACTCTCCAATATTCAGCACTGAACACTATAAAGATATAAATTGAATGCCTTGACCAGGGAAAGGTGGACGTAAGCTAACCTGCGAGTGTGGTTTTTTCATGGGGTGTCCCTCTTCGGAGGCCAATGGCAATCAGATAGGTGTTCCAACCCAGATGCAGACCTCACACCTACCATATGCCCAGCTCACACCAGCTTTTCTAGGTGGATCTTTCACCACATCTTGAAGATGAGGAAATTGAGGCATGGAGCTGAAAAAAAGGTTCCAGAGACCATAACTTCTGAGAGGCAGTATGGTGTAGCGGGCCAAGAGCAGGCTCTGGAAGGAGACAGACTGACTTCAAATCCTGCCTCTGTTGCTTACACACACCTCCCGCACAGAGTTAGTTGTCTAAAGATGAAAAGGGTTCAGATAAGTCAAGTGTTAGAAGCTTTATAAGTGCTTACCCTTTATTCCCTCAATTAATGGCGTCCCATCATGGTCTCTGCCTCACTCCTCCACCCTCTCTCAGTCCCTGCTGAAGGTCCCACACTGGCCTCGTGACAGTAACCAAAGGTGGCATATGGAGACAGGTCTCTCTCCTTTCTCTCTCCTCTCTCTTCTCTTTCTACTCTCTCTTCTCTTTTTCCACTCTCTCCCCTCCCTTTCCTCCTTCTTTCCTCTCTCTCTCCTTTCTACACACTCCTGCGTTCTTTTCCAGGCGGCCACAGTGCCTCAGCTGCTCAAAGTTGTGGAGCCAGGACGTCCTCCTGCTGGGGAGACTGCCCAGGGGCCTTCCAGCCACACTGGCCACCCCCTCCATTTTCGTGTACACCAATAGGTAACCAACTGCACTGCAGGTCCCCAAGAAAGCCCGTCCCCTGACCTGGCTCATTCCACGCCCACATCCCAAGACCCTGTGGCAGGCAGAGCCCAGGAGACCAGCCTTGGAAGTAGGAGAAGTGACAGGACCTAGAAGTGGGAAGGGCTTCTCACTGAGAGATGGTCCCGGGGTTGGGTTGCCCTCTTGGATCCCAGAACAGTTTCCCAAAGCAGTATCCTGATCACACACAAGGTCAAAGATTATAAAGATGGGGTTGGGAGCCCATAATATCAGAAGTCAAGTGGATAGGGAAGATAAGCCTGGAGAAATGTCCACATCACAGCTCACTTATCCACTCAACAAAATATGTATTGACCACCAGCATGTTCCAGACCCTGCTTTAGGCACTAGGGGTACAGCAGTAAATGAAGCTGGCTAAAGCCCTGTCCTCATGGAGCCTCCAACCCAGTGCAGGGGTATTGGCTGCCTTTTACGCTGCTGCTACTGACACAAACATGCAGAACCATATAAGGGGATTGAAACAGAGCCGCCTATTCTGATGGTAACGCAGGCCTCAGCTCTTCCTCTGACACAGGCTCTCTCCTCTCTCCCGGCACCTCTGCTCTCACCTTATGGCCAGAATTCAGCCCCAGAGCTGGCAAGACTCCTCTGTGCACATTGCTGCTGCCAACTCTGCGACCTTCACCCTGCCTGCTGCCTCCTCCCTTGGCTTCATGCAGGACGGTCAGGAGCCCGTGGACATATGGGTAACAACAGTAATAACCTGCTTGGGAACAGCCCTTTACAGTTTGCAAACCACTTTCACAACATCTGCTCAGTTATGTTGCTTGATCACAGTCCTGTCAATTACCCAGTATTATGATGCCCATTTTACAGATGAGATTCAATGACTTGCCCAAGGCCACGAGCAAAGTGGGAGAGCTGGGATTCAGACCCAGGCCTTCTGACCCCCAAATCCAACTTTTTCCACTATGTTCTGGAATTTCTCCAGCAGCCTTGGCTCAATTAGTCATTGGAAATGGAGCTCTTCTAACTTCATTCCATAACTAGGAAATGGCAAACCAGGGCTCTTTTCCATTTCCAAATTAGTATGTACCTGACTCTTTGCTCCTTGAGCCCCATTGAAAGCAAACTTCTTTCTCTCAGAGACTTGTAAGCTTTGCTAGAAGAAAGGCTCAGACTATTGTACAGCCTAGTAACTGCTCAGCTATAGCCAATCTGGTTGGGTTGCCTATGCCCAGCTTTCTGAGTCTACAGCGCTGAAGGGTAGACACACACTAGGAAAAACAGCAGCAGCTAAAGGCAGGGACCCCATTTACCCCTAAGAGTGAGGGCTCCTTGTCCATCCCATCTTAAGATACCTCATAATTTCCATAGGGACCTTGTCACCTTCCAGCCTTTGGGGTCCTGGGAACAACACTCCTTGTTCTTGGTTCCAGATGATGAGTTTCCCAAAAAGCCCTTTCCCAGCCCAGTCACTTTGATGTCAGCGGAACTGTTGGGGGCCTCTCTCTGACCAGCTCTATGGACAGCTCATACCCATGAAGAATCTGTCAGAGAATATCGAGGTAGACATTCGGTGTGCTGTCAGAAGTCAGGTGGTACTTCTGCCTTTTCAACTTGGTTGGGACTAAAAGTTGGTTGGCTATGGAAAAAAATATATTAAAGAGGATAATCATTAAAAGTGATCCTTACCCTGCCCGGCCGGTGTGGCTCAGTGGTTGAGCGTTGACCCATGAACCAGAAGGTCACATGTTCTATTGATGACAAGAAATTGAGGTTCAGAGTGGTTTGTTGATTGGTTGGAGGTCCTAGAGCTGCTATAGGGCAGACCTCTCTGCCTCTCTGCCTGTGCTCCTAACTTGATTGACACTTTCAACAACACTACCACTAGTTCACAGGGCACCTTCATGCAAATTACAAAAAGTCTCTGCTCTTCCTGTGCAGCCGCAACCCTGAGCTGGGGTGCACAGCTTCATGACCATGGCAAGCTGAATAAAGACCCCAAGATGTCCATGTTCTCATCCCTGAGCCTGTGGATATGTCACCTAACATAGTGAAAGGGACTTTTGCAGATGTGACTTAAGTTAAAGATCTTAAGATGATCCTGGATTATCTGGATGGGCCCAATGTTATCACAGGTCCTTATAAAAGGGAGGCAGAGGGGGAGATGACTACAGAAGAAGAAAAGGCAATTTGATTACAGAAGCAAGAAGGCAGGTGATGGGAGGAAGGAGCTATGAGTCAAGGGGTGTAGGCAGCCTGCAGAAGTGGGAAAAGGCAAATAAGTGGATTCTCCCAGAGAGCCTCTGGAAGGAACCAGCCCTCCCAATGTTAGCTCTATGAAATGGATTTTGGACTTCTGGCCTCCAGAACTAGAAGATAACAAATTTGTGTTGTCTTAAGCCACCAAGTTTGTGGTCATTTGTTATAGCAGCTCTAGGAAACTAATCGAATGAGCAAAGCACAGAGTGGATTTCAGTTCCCCCAGTGCTCACCTTGCCCAGCTCTGCCCAGCAGCCCTGATGCTCACTGGCATTCCCACCCTGGCTCACCCCTGATTTGGTTGTTTCCGATGACAGATCCTGCTGCCTCGGTTTTCAGAGGACACAGCGAGCCAACCGTGTTGAATCTGACCAGTCCTGAAGCTCTGCGGGTGAATTTGACTTCAGGGGTGCAGCTTTGGGGATCCAGCTGCACTGGAGACCTGACATCCCACTCACACTCAGCCTGGGCTATGGCTACCACCCCAACAAGACCAGCTATGACGCCAAAGCTCACCTTCCACCAGTGGCTGCTCCAAGTAGTCACATCATCAGACCAGTTTCTCAAGCTGCTTCCTGGGAGTGTGAGCAGCTCAAAACTTGAGCATCAGAAGCCAAAGGGAAAAAAGAAAAAGAAAAAAAAACACTTGCTATATTAGGTGAGTACTTACTATATGCCCTGATAAGCACTCACAGAACTGACCTCATTGCAATCATCATAACCCTCAGGAATGTGAACTATTGAAATCTCCACTTTCCAGATAAGAGCAGAGACGTTAAGCAACTGGTCCAAAGTCACACATTCAAGAAGGACAGAGTCAGAATTTGAACCCTCGTCTGTTTGACTTGGCAGCCATGTTCTGTACACTAACTGGGAGTGCCTCATTTAAGCTCCTGGTCTCAGGAGGAGAGGGTACTACTAGCACATTGGGGAGACCATCAGGGTCAGCTTTCCTGGCAAATTACCTCAGTCCCCCTTTTCTATGATGTTAGCCAAGTCTCCTCTCCACAAGGCTTAGGCTGACTCTAAGCCCCATTTCCTGCAGATGGGCTGTCCACATGGAAACTGAGCCCAGAGGTCCTGCACTTTGGAGAAGGTGTCTACTATCTGACTGTGATCCCCGAGTCTGACCTGGAGCTGACCCCTGGCAGAGACCTCACAGTTGGTATCACCACCTTCCTTTCCCATTGTGTGTTTTGGGATGAGATCCAGGAAACTGGGGACAATTCTGGGTGCCAGGGAAGGAGGAGGAAGTGAAGAAGACAGAACAGCTTGGTGTGGTGTGTCCTGCTCCTTTAGGGTCCTGTTTTAGTGCCTCTGGTATACCATCAGCTCCTCCTTGGGGCCTTTGCATATGTGCCTGGGAATGTGCCCCCATTCCCCATTCAGTGAAGTTAACTCCTCCATCACATTCCACCTGAAATGTCACTTCCTCCAGGAACTTATCAATGCCCTGGTTAGCTCAGATTTCCTACTGTGAACACTCAGAGCACATAGGCCCGTCGCCTCCATGGACTAAGCAGAGTAGTAGTTCACATCCACTCAGATCACTGAACAATGTCTGTACCCTCAGTGCACTGGGAGTCACATGAGACAGGAACAATGTGCTTTGCTCACTGTTAGGAACAAATGACCACTGAACAAATGGACAAATGGCTGGGAAGCCCTGCTGACTCCGTTGCGGAGAGAGGCCAGAGTGTCATGTCCAAGGAGTCCCTTATTCTATGCCATGGTGCTGTGTTCCATGCTTTCTTGTGTTAGCTCATCAAATCTTCACAATAACCCTCTAAGGTAGTTGGTATTCACATTCTACAGATGGTAAAACAAAGGCTCAGGAAATTCAACAAAGGCTCAAGGTGACCTGGGATGAGTCACCCCGCCTCTTTGAGCTTTCCCATCTGGAAATGAGCACAAAGATACTTGTAGTTGTAGCCCTGAATCTCTCACCTAGTAGGTAGAAGAGCTGGGACTCAAACTCAGGTCTGTCTGCCTCCAGAGAATAAGCCTTAGCAATATGAGGCACTGTTTCTCCGGAGCCCAGCCCAGTCTCACTGAGCCCCTGGATGGCACGTGGCTCTATTAACTGCAATTAAATCCCTGTCTCGGGTCAGTTCAGCTCTGCTCCCTAGGAGGCAAGTGTGCTGGTAGCAGCTATTGGCTTTGATGCCATCAGAAGCCATCGCTGTGGCATCAGTATCCCCCTCCCCCCTTCTATGCTATTGTATATGCTGTTCTCTTCCCTGGAATGCCCTTCTTACCTACAATACCTATTCACCCTTCAATCTCCCACTCCACTGCCACTTTCTTCAAGGAGCTTCTCAGATGCCTGGAGTCTTCCTCTGTTGGATTTCCACAGCACTTCATATCCTCCCCAAGAACAGCAGCCTCCATTTCTAGCTCAAATTTATCACACATCTGTCTCCGCCTAGAGACCATAAATGCCTTATTTCATTTATTCTACAAATAGCTACCATGTGCCTGGCCAACTGGTGGGGGTATAATGGTGAGAAAAACCAGTGAGCTTTCAGTTTAGCAGAGGACACAGACAAGAAACTTATGGCACATGCCATGTCAAATTACACCAGTTACAAGTAGTGTAAGAAGTCAGGTTGCAACAGTCACAGAAGGGGACTCAGAGTGAGCTCCTTCCAGGTCTGTTTCTGCTGCCATGTCAACTCCTGCCCTGGCTTCCAGCTGCCACACATGGGGAGCTCCCAGAGCACCAGGAAGAGATGAGAGGACACTGAGATGGCCAAGGCACAGCAGGTTCCCCCACTTGCAACACAGGCCTTTGTTCCTTATGAACAATACCCTGGTTGTGTTGTGACCTCCTAGAGTCCTTGCTCCCAGAGGCTGTTTGATCCCCATGTTGCTGGCACAGAGTGCCCACTACAGGCTGCCCTCAGATGCCCGAGGCTCAGAATGTGTAGGGGCTGGCAGCAAGGGCTCCACCATTAAATAGACTTGGGTCCAATCCCACTTCATCAATTCTAGCAAGGTGACCTGGGATGAGTCACCCTGCCTCTTTGAGCTTTCCCATCTGGAAATGAGCACAAAGATACTTGTAGTTGGAGGCGGGAACTTAGATGAGATTAGGGGTATAAAGTACTTAAGTGTGTTGTCTGGCACACAGTGAGTGCTCCATAGATTAAAGAGATGGCTATGTTAGCCAATCTGAACATAGAGAAGACAAAACTGTACAAAGATCATATGTGAAAGTGTGTCACAGACCAAAAGTACCCAATATTGTGTACTTGCTGCTCATTATAGATAGATGTAAATACAGATACAGATATATTGAGGTCATTGAAGACCATAAATAAGTAAATGGGATCATCAAGTTTGCATGGAAAACCACCAATGAATCTTCTAAAAAGCTAAAAAAGGTTCCAAATCTATGGACTACAGACCTTGTCATGGGGTAAAGGCAGAAATATTGCAAGGGGTCTGAGAGCCATACTAAAGGCACAACTACTATTGCAAGAGGATGCACAGATTAATTTCAAATTTTTAAAGAGGTCCTCATGCTAGAAAAGGTTGAGAAAGTGGCTTTTCCTTCCTCTCCCCGGGAGTCTTATGAAAACCCAGAATGGCAAAGATCTTAGACATAAATCAGATCTGGTCCCAGGGCTCTCAGCATTGAGATGGTCTTGTTACTGGCACCTGCTTGGGTTTCTTCTCTGAAATTAGCCCCACCCCTTCCTGGTGTGCCAAGTGTTCCCATAAGCCCCACAGCTGTATGCCAAATGCTCTAGCCAGAATTGGGAAACAGTGACAAAAACAACAGAGCACACAAGGGACTAAGACCCATGTGAAATCCATTAATGAACAGTTGGTGCCATGCCTTTGCTGGGTGGCTTATTTAAGGAAAAGGGGGCATGTTTGGGATATGGCAGATTCTTCCTTACCAGGCATTGAGCAGAGTACTTTCTGCATGCCAGTGTTTTCTGCTTCCTCTTACCTTCACCCTGTGGTGGACTCTGAAATGAAAAGGTGGTTCTGGGTTGTGGGGTTGAATTAAATCCTCTTTGCCCACCAAATGGCCCTGGGGGAAGAATTCAAACTGGCCGAGGGCTTTAGGGAAGGCCTGCTTCTAAGTGCAGGGTATACATTAAGAGCACAGTTAGGGTCCCTGCCCCCACCCATTCCTGTCTCCCTGTCCCCAACCTCATTGTCCCATACCACATGGGACAGCGTGCCAAGCTCCATCCACATGCCCCACCCACTCAGGCTGATGATCCTGAGGAATAGATCAATTTGGGCCCTGGAAGCAGGGAATTCTGAGGTTCCAGGTCCCCAAGCCTCAGTTTAAAAGTGAAAGGGTAGGATAAGTCAAGTGAGGCACCAGGAGAGCAAAATTTAGAGAGGACTCATCCTCAGGGTCACCCAAGGCCTTTTCCTAGTCCTAGCTGGGTGGTATGTGCTGTGGTGGGAGTGTCTCCTCGGCCCCAACGCCTCGTCCTGTGTAGAGGGGCACAGCCCAAGGACAGCTAGAGTGGAACCCTTCTAAGGAGAAGCCCAGGACAAGGGCTCCAGGTGCCTAGAGCTAAGGAGGGGGGTCAAGTTTAGGGAATACTTTCCTGTGCTGAGACACCAGCTTAGAATGAAATATTTGCCCTTCCCTTTTCCTAGCATGGTTCCCCTAGTCTTGGTCTTCCTTTGCTGTTCAGTGTAAGACGTTCAGTTTGAAAAGCAGGAAAGTCCCTAGCAAACTGAGATGCATTGGTCATCCTGGATGTCCTCTCAGCACCTAGCCCATTGCCTGGCCTAGAATTAGCATTCAACAAATATCTGTACAATGAATGAGCATCGGGTGAGAGAATGGACTGGAATGATGCACACCAAAGTGTGATAATGGTTGTTTGTGGAGGGTGAAGGACAGAGGGGACTTCAGCTTGCCCTGCAATACTTATCTAAAAAAGGCAAAGCAGACTGACAAGGTGGACAGTTGCCCATTGAGAGTGATGGATGCAAAGATGTTTGCTAAAGGTAATATTCTACTCATTTTAAAATTATTTTTTAATTAAATTTTTAAAAACCCAAACAGAATCCTGAAGCTGGTCTCCCAACAGGCTCCCCAGCTCCTCCCCAGGACAGTGTCCACTTCTCATCGCTCTCCCTTGGGCTCGAGCCATTCAGGGATGTACTCGCATTGCCACCCGGGCCTCTTTGCGGTTGCAGGTGGGGCCACGAACCACTCCCTTCCAGACACACTGCCTCTGCAACCATCTTACCTTCTTTGGAAGTACATTCTTGGTGATGCCCAATGCCATTGATGTCCGCCAGACCAGAGAGCTCTTTGCCACCTTTGAGGACAATCCTGTGGTTGTGACTACCGTGGGCTGTCTCTTCGTGGCCTATGTATTGGTGGTGATCTGGACAAGGAAGAAGGATGCTCAGGATCAGGCCAAGGTGAGATGGTATAGCCCTAGGGCAGGGGTCCTCAAACTACGGCCCGCGGGCCACATGCAAATACAAATATTGTATTTGTTCCTGTTTTGTTTTTTTACTTCAAAATAAGATATGTGCAGTGTGCATAGGAATTTGTTCCTAGTTTTTTTTTAAACTATAGTCCGGCCCTCCAATGGTCTGAGGGACAGTGAACTGGCCCCCTGTTTAAAAAGTTTGAGGACCCCTGCCCTAGGGAATGGGAGGGAGAAGCAAGTGTGAACCCTTGCAGGAGCTCCAGGGAATGGAGCCCAGATGGGAGGCCAAGAGGCTAGATGCAAATCTAGGCCTTGGCCCCTGTAATCATCTCAGGCAAGCCAGCCCCCAGCCTCTTTATCTGTAAAAATGTTCTTTTTCATAAAATTATCACAAGGATTATGATACTGATCATTTATTGAGGATTTACTATATACTAGGCATTACCCCATTTAATACTCACAATAGCCCTAAGAAGAAGGTACCGAGTTGAGGGTCCCCAAGACCACCCTAAAGTTCAATGATTTGCTAGTAGGACTCACAGAACCCCAGAAAAGCTGTTATGCTCATGATTATGGTTTATCACAGTGAAAGGATACAGATTAAAACCAGTAAAGGGAAGGGTCCATGGGAGATCAGGCAAGAGCTTTCAGTTGCCCTCTCCCAGTGGAATTGTACGGGACAATGATGTGTGACAATATGTGCAAAGTATTGCCATCAAGAAAAGTTTACCTAAACTTTGGTGTCTAGGGTTTAATTGGGGTCAGTCACATAGGTATGGAGTGCGCACATGACTGACTTTCCTTACATAGTCTCCAATAAACCACCCCACTCCTGCCCAGGGTCAAATGATACAGCATGGCTAAAAGCCCGCACCATAAATCACATTGTTAGCATAGACTACCTGCTGTGGCCCATGGCCCCAGGTATTGAAAGACACACTTATAATACTGGATCTTCTGTGGAGTTATAGATTATCTTTCAGAATCTGGACAAAAGCCAGTCCTTTCTTTGAAATGTGCAGGGTTTGGACAACCCAAGCTTGCTGAGTTCCCCCTTTACTGCACAATACCTCTATCATCTTACAGAGGAGGCAACCAAGGATCAGAGAGCACAATTAACTGGTCAAGAGCTACCCTCCCGGGAGGCAGAATTCAAACCTTGAACTCGGATAATAAATCAGGTCTGAGGATAGAAACAAGATCAAACAACAAATTGTGCAACAAATTACAACAAAGTTCTGATTATTTTTCCAATATATGCTCCATGTCTGACACATAGTGAGCCTCCAATAAATATCTGTGAGTGAGTGAGCACATAAATGAACACTAGTATGCAGGTGCAAAGCTCTGAAACATTTCCATTCTCTGCCCTCTCCCCACATAGCAACACCTCTTGGATGTTAAGATGATATGGCACTTAAGATAAATAGCTGCAGCATGTATACTGCTGTCTTTGATTCACTCAAAGGATTAAACATTAATACTTTAAGTGCTTAGCTGTAGGTTGATTCCCACAAGGCAGAGTCTGAGATGGAGTTTAGCATGCAAGGTGTTTATCAAGGAATGCCCGGGATCAGCCCATGGGAAGACAGGGAAGGAGACAGGATGAGTAGAGGGAGAAGCTAAGCTGAAATTCCTGACTGCCCTGCTGACCCAGAGAGAACTCCAGAGCTCTCCAGAGCTCTCCAGAATTGGGTTGAGATGCCCAAGTCTTGATCACACCTGGGCACCACATCAATCTGCCATTGAATGTTGGCCTCCCCAGGGGTTGCATGACCTCAACAGAGGTGGTTCTTGCATCCCTGACAACAGCACCTCAGCAACTGGGGCAACATGCCCTCCCTTGACAGATATGAGCAGCTCATCACAGCTTTTGAAAATATTTTTTATTTTTTGCTTAACCACCTTAACATTCATTCCTTTTAAAATCCCTTAAAGGCATAATATGGTTATCAAATGCTACAACAAATTATATATAAACAGAGTTTGTATCGTTCACCAGATTAAACATTCTCAGCTTAATAATGCCAAGTTCATTTCCTGACTACTTTGGGTCATATTTAATAACAAATGTATTTTGTACTTTTTCTTTTAAAAGTGTTTGTTTTTCCCTGTTCTCACCTGATGGAGTACGTAAATAGCATACATAATTTTGCTTCCCCCCTTTAATTGTCACTGTTGGCTGCTGTGAAGTGGAAAAACCCACTGAGCAGTGCCCTCCTGTCTTAATCCTTCTGTCCAGGTGAAGGTCACAGTGCTGGAGGACAATGATCCCTTTGCCCAGTACCACAACCTGGTGACAGTCTACACTGGACATCGGAGAGGGGCAGCTACTTCCTCAAAGGTACCTGACCATTCAAGGTGGCTCAATCAGCATGTGCCACTCAGCAAAGTGCTTGCCAGTCCATTGTTGGGTTACTTTAGCAGAGTGGATTTGGCGCTGTACAGTGTATGTTTCTTGTTGTTTTTTTTATCTCTGCTTTTTGTTTTTTATAGAAAACTTTTTGTCAAATAAAATATCACCCCAAGTCCTAATATTTAAAAAGAAAAAGGAGTTGGTTAATGGAGAGTTAGAGTCTAGTATAGTGCCACTGGTCATCTCTCTTATCCCTATCAAGGAATAACTCAGTTAGTTGGTTACCTGCATGCAAATTTGCTCACATATGAAGAACAGTCAATAAAATGATCAATGAATACAGGGAAAAGAGAATTTATAAGAGAGAGGGGAGAAAGGAAAGAGAAAAAATGCCCACCATTTGAAAACAATGAGTCTTAAATTATATTTTTTAGGTAAACTGATTAGCTGGCATCTAGCTAAGAGGTCAAACTGAGCCTTGAGGTCCTTGAACAGGCTGACTGAACTATTTCACTTATTTATGGATTCTCTGGAATCCTTGAACATTTAGCTGTGGGGCATACAGCAGGTTGTCTCTGTGATGTCTCAGCATCTTTAGTTAAGTCTGCCCTCCCTACACCATATCCCTCATCAGATACATTATCCCTTGCAGCAGCCTCCAAGGTTCCTTTACCAAAACTGAGGGCTCCAAGGAACACAGGTTGAGAACCATTGGCATTTTTAGTCTGTCCTTATTTTACCAAAATTGACATTAGGCTTCATTAGCGTCGGGCATTTATCTGTTTACTTTTTATTTTTTAGCCTTATTATTTATTTTTATTTTTTAAAAATTGTTTATTTTTACTTATTGCTGTGTCTTAGGTCTTCAACCAGCTGTCTAAAACAGAGTAAGTGCTCAATAACTATCTGTTAAATTAATGTAGGATTCAAAACAAAAAGTAGGATTCAATTTTATCCATCTCATGAAATAACCATCTCATTTCTGTTTGACACTGAAAAGTCCTTAACAGGAAGTAAAACCTGTGATGCATAGGCCATTTCTCTTTGTGGAGAGTTGCAGTCGCATTTCAATCTGATACAGTTTTAGTCTGATTTCCCCTAGCACAGAAAATTAGGCATGCCCATCAGCATCACCTGGATAGCTTTAGGAAAACACAGATTCCTGGGCCCTATCCCTAAATATTCCTACTTGGTAGGTATGCAGCAAGGCCTGGTTATTTTCAACATAGGGGGCACTCATTCATTCATGTCTCAATGCCAGGCCCTCTGGGAGACACTGGGAATATAACTGTTAGGGGGAAACCAGTTCCTGCTCTACAGCCCTTACAAATAAATATATGGGAAGTTTAAAAAGGCCACCGGACATGAATATAGATAGTATCACCCCAAATCTTCATACAACTAAAATATAACCAGGCAGGTCCAACATGGGAGGAGAAGAGAGGATGAAAGGGTCATGCTTGCTGGTTTTCCTTGTGTTTGTTTGTTTGTTACATTTCCAGTGAAATACTGTCAGTGGGGCTTGGTTACCATGTGAAGCTGGCCGCTCTGGTCTCTGGATTTCAGGTGACTATAACCCTGTATGGCCTGGATGGAGAGAGTGAGCCCCACCACCTGTCAGACCCTGACATTCCAGTTTTTGAACGAGGAGGAGTGAATGTCTTCTCACTCTCCACCCTGTTCCCCCTGGGGGAACTGAGGAGCCTGCGGCTGTGGCATGACAACTCAGGGGACCGGCCATCCTGGTGAGTAGGGTTGAGCAAACCACAAGAACCTACTGAGCCCTAGGCCAGGGCTGGGCACTGTGCACTTGCTGCCTTGCTGATCCTCACAGGCCTCTGAAAGACACATGGAATGGATTCCTATTTCACAGGAAAATGAGTGTCAGAAAGGACCACCAGAAGATAAACAATCCAATCAAAAAATGGGCAAAGGACCTAAATAGACACTTTCCGAAAGAGGACATACAAAAGGCCAAGAGAAATATGAAAACATGCTCAAAGTCACTAATTATCTGAGAGATGCAAATCAAAACAACAATGAGGTATCATCTCACACCTGTCAGAATGGCTATCATCAACAAATCAACAAATGACAAGTGCTGGAGAGGATGCGGAGAAAAGGGAATATTTGTGCACTGCTGGTGGGAATGCAGACTGGTGCAGCCACTATGGAAGACAGTATGGAGTTTCCTCAAAAAGTTAAAAATGGAACTCCCATTTGACCCAGTAATCCCACTTCAAGGAATATATCCCAAGAAACCAGAAACACCAATCAAAAAGGATATATATGTACCCCTATGTTCATAGCAGCACAATTTACCATAGCTAAGATTTGGAAACAACCTAAGTGCCCATCAGCAGATGAATGGATTAGAAAACTGTGGTACATCTACACAATGGAATACTATGCTGCTGTAAAAAAGAAGGAATTCTTACCATTTACAACAGCATGGATGGAACTGGAGAGCATTATGCTAAGTGAAATAAGCCAGTCAATGAAAGAAAAATACCACATGATTTCACTCATTTATGGATAATAAAGACCATTATAAACTGATGAATAAAAATAGATACAGAGGCAGAGCAGCATCGAACAGACTGTCAAACTACAGCGGGAAGGCCGGGGAGGGTTGCGGGGGGTGGGGGTGGGGGGGTAAGAGATCAACCGAAGGACTTATATGCACGCATATAAGCATAACCAATGGACACAGACACTGGGGGGTAGGGGAGGCCGGGGGGATGTCAAGGGGGGGAAAAAAAGGAGACATATGTAATACTCTTTGTAATACTTTAAGCAATAAAACAAAATTTAAAATAAATAAATAAATTTTAAAAAACACATATATAATTACATATTGTTTTTGTGATTAATCACTATGCTTTAATTATGTTCAATTTGTAACAATGAAAATATATCCTGCATATCAGATATTTACATTACGATTCATAACAATAGCAAAATTACAGTTATGAAGTAGCAACAAAAATAATTTTATGGTTGGGGGTCACCACAACATGAGGAACTGTATTAAAGGGTCACGGCATTAGGAAGGTTGAGAACCACTGGCCTAGACCAAAGGTAATTTTGCCCTGTTTTAACATTCCAAAGGATAGAGGAGTAGGATGTGCAAGGCAGTTCCTCTGGGATGGTAACTCTGACTCAATTTTGAAGTGGTTCTGCTGATATTATTTTTACAATATGTATACTGGGTAGAATATAGAATAGCCCTTTGAAGTGGGTACAAGGTATAGAAGAGAAAATTGAGGGTCTAAGAAGTCAGGGAGCTTGGCTAAGGTCAACAAGCTTGGCCAAGGTCACTCAGCTAACGGGGTGGAGTTGGATTTGAACTTGAACCTTAGTGGGTGGTGTCACCTGACTATATCCACTTTCTATTACAGCTCCCTGAGATCAAGCAAGCCCCCTCGAGGCCTGCCCTGGTGGTGTGTCCTGGTGGGCTGGCTCCTGGTAGCCGCCACCAGCGGTGTGGCAGCCTTCTTCACCATGCTATATGGTTTGCACTACGGGAAGACGAGCTCCCTCAAGTGGCTCATCTCCATGGCTGTCTCCTTTGTAGAGAGTGTGTTTGTCACCCAGCCCCTGAAGGTCAGGACCCCTTACTTTCTCTCCTGCCAGCTGCCTTGTTCTAACTTCAGCTGTTCCTTCATCTATTTGTTCAACAAAACTGCATGGAACACCACCTCTGTGCAGGTCCCAGGGCAGGAACAATAATGAAGATGAGTACCATGATGACCCAAGCTTTTGGCCACTCACCCTGGGCCAGGCTTAGTGGTTTACTGAGATGCTGGCATTTCATCATCACAATCACCCTCAGGAAGGACCTTGCCTCCATTTTATAGATGAGAAAACCTGAAGTTAGAAGTTAAGGTCAGCCTTAGCTGGTTTGGCTCAGTGGATAGAGCATCGGCCTTCAGACCAAAGGGTCCCAGGTTTGATTCTAGTCAAGAGCATGTACCTTGGTTGCAGGTTCCTCCCTGGCCCAGGCCCTGGTCAGGGCTCATGCAGGAGGCAACCAATTGATGTGTTTCTCTCACATCAATGTTTCTCTCTGTCTTTCCCTCTCTTCCACTCACCCTAAAAATTAATGGAAAAATATCCTTGGGTGAGGATTAACAAAAAGAAAAATATCATAGAAAGGATATTTTTTTTAAAAAAAGAAGAAGGTAAGGTCATCCAGCCAGTGAGGCTCAATGGTTAAGTGTAAACCTATGAATCAAGAGGTCATGGTTTGATTCCCAGTCAGGGCACATGCCTAGGTTGTGGGCGCAATCTCCAGTAGGCAGGGTACAGGAGGCAGCCGATCAATGATTCTCTCTCATTGAAGTTTCTATCTTTCCCTCTCCTTTCCTCTCTCTGAAATCATAAAAGCACTAGAAAAGAAGAAGTAGTAGTAGTAGTAGTTAAGATCATAAGCATCCTGCCCTAGACTACATACATAAATAGGAATAACACCAAATTTCCTCAATTCTAAGATGCTTTTACTTGTAAAACAGGCCAGCAATTTACAGGAATTTGACCTTCAGATAAAAACCCAAGTCAACTATTGGAAGATGCAATCCTATTTCTGAAATGTAAAGTTACTGTCAGAGTAGAAGAAATACTGAGCCCTGGCCTCGAGTTCGAGGTCACAGCTTTCCCTGGAAAAAAATCAGGTGGTAGGAGTACTGTGTGTGGGGTTAGGGGAAGCTAAAGAAAGGAGGGGGCATTTTCAGTGAATCTTTATGCCTGTGAGACTCACCAAATCCCCTACCCCATTTCCTCCCCTTGGCCCTCTGCCTTGTCATGAACAGCCTTTGTCAGAAGATTTCAACAGTTCCTGATACCTCCCCCAACGTAGTCTGAGAATTTTAAGAACAGAGTCCTGGGCCTTTCTGTTTCTAATCAAACCACACAATCCTATTATGCTTGTGTACTGTGGTACTGCTGGGGAGGAATAAACTTTCCTCTACCCTCAAGATGCTTTCAGCTGGTCTAAGAGTTAAATCTACGTGAGACAGATTAACAAGAGGAAATAACCAAATTTAATACACACATATGAATGGGAACCTGATATACATGAAGGAGTCAGAGAACCCACATACATGAGAGGTTCAAAGACAGAGAGGGAAAATGAGATATTTATGACACTCTGAGCTAAGAATCACCTTGGGGCTTCAGAGGGGAGGAAGGTCATTGCAGGATGATAACAGCAGGTGTTCAGCAATTAGTTTACCTTGCCCTACAAATAGGTCATAAAAACTGTAATAACTCTTACTATAGGCAAGGTCCCTAATTTAAATTACTTAAGAGAGAGGTAAAAATTGCTCATGAGCTTGCAGGGCCTTGATTCCCTCAACTCAAAACAATTCACATGCCAAAGAAACTTATTGGAGAGGCCTGTTCTGAATCCTTACATCAGAGATAGTATAAGGGCTAATCACTTAATACAGGAAGAAAGGGAAGAGGGAAGCTTAACTCACCACACTGGAGTATAAGCCAGGTGCATGCAAGCCCTGGCCCTCACCCTTCATAAACATGTGCCCTCTCTACAGAGGATGGGCTAGTTCCTACCTGACTTCCCCAGAGTATGGCTCCTGGGACAAGGATATAAAAGTGGCCCCAGTCCCACCGTCTCTCAGACCAGTAGTTGATAGTTTCCAACTTGGGCTTGGGGTTCACCATGGGTATTTTCCAGGTGCTGGGGTTTGCTGCCTTCTTTGCACTGGTCTTAAAGAGCGTGGAGGACGAAGAGGAACCTATGGCCTTTCTCCCGGGATATTTGTCCAGCCCAGGTAATGGTGCAGGCAGGGGCCTGGAATCTGACAAAGCTGAGAAAGCCCTAGAGAGCCCAACCACTGGGTGAGTGGTCCAGGCCTCAGATCTTTGTGCCCCATCTGCTCTTCTCCCCTGACTGGTGAAACATCCCCAAACCATCCAGAATAAGTGACTCCATTGTCGCTTGAGCAATCTTATTCCTTCTCTACGGGGCCTTTCTATCTGACACCTAAGCATGACTCCTTGGCCATTCGAGGCACATCTGGGGCCATGCTCTGTGCTATCATTCTCTGTGTAATCTCAATCAAGCAGCTTTCTTCTCCAAGGCTCAGCTCCCTGGTCTTTAGAATGGAAAAACACACACACACACACATACACAAAAGCATGTGGGTGGGCTGCAAAGATTGCTATAAGTTAGAATTCTAGGAAAAGGATCTGCAAACCATAGCCAGGGGCCCGAATCTAGCCCAACCCCTATTTTTGTAGTTTTACTAGAACATAGTCAAGATGAGCCCTGTTGGAGGAGCCCCATGACCAGACCCCTTCCCCCAACCTGATTTCTCACTTCCCAATAGAAACTCCTGAGGGTGCTGACAATAAGAGAATTACAAAAGCAAACAAGCAAACAGAACAGCATCAACACTCTTATAGTCTATGCAGTTATCTTGAGCTTCAGGGAAAATAAAACAGGAACTAACAAAATCCCATGTATCTACATCATTATGAGGTATGGTTTTTACCCACACGGGCCTGTATTCTTCCATTCTAAATTAGGGTTTTGGCTTTGCAAATCCAAAGGTCCATTAAAATCTTCTTCCTAAGACAAGAGTAATTTTTCTCCAAGGAGAGGCCACCCTCCAGACTAATTAAATATTCATTAAGTCATTCCTTTGGCAATTATTCAGGGAGTACTTGCTGTGTGCCAGACAGTGTGATGGTCTGGGAACATAATTTATATGAAATCTACTTGTAATGTATAATTCATTGATTTTAGTAATTTATAGAGTTGTGCAACCATCACCACAATTAAGACTTGGAAAAGCTTCATCACCCCAGATTACCTCTTGCCCATTTGAAGTCAATCTCTACTCCCACCCCAGCCCCAGGCAACACAGCATTGACAAGATGGAACAGGTTGCTGCCCTCGCAATGAACAGCCCATGTGGGGAGACACATTAAATAATTAAATGCACAAGTAGACATATAAGTGTGAATTGTGATGAGAACTAGGTGTGGGAGAAGAAGAGAGAGCAGGCCTCTCTGCTGAGGTGGTACCTAAGCTGGCTCCTGGAAGATGGGGGCCAGGAGGGATTATACATTGGAAATGTGCAAAGGCCCTGAGGTGATATGCAGCTTGTCATTTTATAGCAATTATTGACAGTGTGGGTGAATCATTTGGGATTGTGGGGGGAGAATGGTTCAAGATGAGGGCAGAGAGGTGAGTGGGGAGCGGGTCACTCAAGGGCCTTGTAGGATCTGGATCAATGTTAGGGTTTCAAAGTGTTTTAAATAGGAGAGCAGCATGGCCTATTTGTGATTTTAGAAAGATTACTGTGGCTAATCTTGGAGAACAGAGGTATTATGTTAAAAGTGGAAGTGGGGAGGCCAAAAGGTATAGAACATCAAAATGGTCCAGACAAGAGATGACATGTGCTGGCAGTGAGGGTGAACAGAAGGGAATGGATTAAAAAAAATAGTTGGGCTAATATACCCCTACCAGAATGGCTAATGTGAAAAAAAGTGGTATCACCAAAGGCTGACAAGGATGAAGAGAAACTGGAGCATTCATGCATTGCTGGTAGTAACATAAAATGGTATAGCCACTCTGGAAAACAGTTTGGCAGTTCCTTTAAAATCTAAAAACAGACTTACCATATGCTCCAGCAATTGGACTCTTAGGCATTTATCCAAGAGAAACAAAGACTTATATTCACATAGGAACCTGTGGCCAAATGTTCATAGCAGCTTTGCTTCATTTGAAATAGCCAAAAGGTATTTGGCCACTCCAAAGAATCTACCCAAGAGAAATAAAAATATATGTCCACACAAACAACTGTACTTGAATGTTCAAAGCAGCATTATTCATATTAGCCAAAACTAGAAACAATCTAAATATCCATCAATGGGTGAATGGAAAAACAAAGGTAGTATATCCATACAATGGAATACTACTCAACAATAAAAATAAACTAACTGCTAATATATACAACAACATGGATGAACTCCAAAAATTGAAAGATGCCAGATACAAGAAACTAGGTACATATGATTCCATTTATATGAAATACCTTGAAAAGGAAAAGCTTATAGAGGCAGAAAGCAAATTAATGGGGCTCAGGGTGGAAATAGAGTGAAAGTGAGAACTGACTTCAATGGGACATGAGGGAACCTTCTGGGGGTGATGAAAATGTTCTAAAATCGGATTGTTTTAAATTTACCAAAATCATTGAATTGTAGACTTCCAATGGGTGGATTTATGAAAATTATATCTAAATAATGTGGAATGAAAAAGAAGATGCTGGAATTAGACATGACAGGACTTTGAAATACTAGTTACCCTCATTCTTCTATTCTTCAAAGTTTTGAAAGTGATGGGATCCATCTTAGAATCCAGGAATGCAAGGAAGATGGCATCCAGGAGTAAGTAACCCTTCAGGGAGGGGAAGGCATTCATTTTTAGTACCAGGAGAATTCCCCACATGAAGAAAAAGGGATGGAGTTCTGGGCACTGGAATAGCATGGCAGAGCATGGAGGGCAGTGTTGGGTCCCACAAAGGAGGAACTGTGAATCCTAGCTGTACCTGGTTGCAAATGTAAAGCCTGATTCGACTGCCCATGGGGGAACTGTCCTTGTGTTCTGCTTTCACAGACCCCTCCACCTTGTTCCAAGTACGAAGAAACAGCAGAAAGGATGTCTACCAGCCGCCTCTGGCTGCCAACATTGAGAAGAGGAAAACCACCCACCTCAAGGAACAGAAAGCATTTGCCCTGATCAGAGAAATCTTGGGTAGGCAGCCAAGATTACCCATGAGCAATCTTCCCACTTGGCTGGTTCTCAACACAGACTTGAAAAGGAACTGTGCAACCTCAGATGAGCCCCACACTGCATCTTGGACATTTTCCCAAGATATTAGCTCACTCCAGCCTGTGCCCAACACTTAAATTCTTTCAATGGCCCTTCAGATCAAACTCCCCACTGTGGCTCCATCCACAGCAGGTCACCTCTCTCGGCCCCTTGTGCCCTGAGCTCCAGTGACACAGGATTCTACAGCTCCTGGGACGCTGTGCCCGCTCCCGACCCCAGGCCTTTGCCCAGGCTGTTCCATCTAGTCTGCTAGAATGTGCTTATCCCTCCTCCCTACATTTTCTTATCGCTAAGTCCTCTTATTCTTTCATTCTCAGCCCAAAGACTATTATATCTTCAGGCAGGCTTCCTCTGACCAAAAGCTTTAAAGCCTATGTATATCTTAGACTGGGTTCCCCACAAGCAGATTTGGGTACATATGGTTGGTTTGGGAGGTGATTATGGGGAACATTAGTAGGGAAGGGGAAAGTGCAGGGGGAGAGAAGAAAGGCAGTGGCAACTGGGGTGATGAGTGGTTTCCATGTGGACAACTGGGGCTCAGTCCTGCTGGGGACCTCAGTGGGAGCATGTAGTACACACTCCCAAGTTGTCACCCACTAGGTCACTGGTGAAGGCTGCTCCTGAGGAGAATACAGGCCTTGCAGCACTCCTGGCCTGCCTTCCCGCTGGCTGATCATGATCCTGGCCAAAGCAGAGAGCAGGGAGGCTTGTGCAGGAGGAGTAGCATGTGCAGAATGCATGTGCAGGAGGACTAGCATGTGCAGAATGAAGAGTTCCAAGGGTGTGTGGGCAAAAGCCCTGAGAAGTCATCGCAGGAAGAGGTTTCCATGATGCAGATTCCTAGGCCCTGACCCCGAGATTCTGATTCAGTAAGGCTCCTCATTCCCCACATGATTCTGATATCTGACCCCCTAAACTAAATCTTTGTACCTTCTTTGGACCCTTACTTCACACTCACCAGTCTCCTACAAGACTGGTTAGCTCCATGAGGGGCAAGGAACACATCTGTCATCTTCATCACTCTATCCCCAGCATTACAACATGGCAGATGCCCCATTTTTAAAAATTCTATTTAGGAAACACTTATATAACATGAACTTGAGCAGGCACTATTTTAAGTGCTTCATAAATATTAATTTCTTGACTTCTTTATCACAACCCTGCATAATATAGTTATTATCCCCATTTCATCGATGAGGAAAGTAAGGCACAGAGGGTTAAATCACTTGGAAAGGGCATATAGATAGAAGTGACAGAGCCAGGATTTGAACCTAGCAGAAGATTCATGATATGTGGACTCTTTCTTTCTATTGTGCCTATAAAAATCAGTTCCATTGTCACCAGAGAGGTGAATAATTGGTCTACAAAACCTCAATAGTTCTGATCCCATGTGCCATTCTGTTTCCTTCCTGGGCTTGATGGGAATGGGGACTCTGCCTGACCAGGGACTGTGCTTCCTTTCCCAGCATACCTGGGCTTCCTATGGGCAGAGGGACCCCAGTGCCTACCACTTCAACAGACACCTTAAGCATAGCTTCACCCAAGGCTTTTCAGCTGTCCTGGGCTTCCAGGAGTTCTTCATGTGGGCCAACACCACCCTTGTACAAAACCTGTATAGTCATCACCCAGGTATAGTCCCATTGCCCCAGGACCTGTGTCAGCCACCTGGTGCACTGTTCTTTCTAGGAACAAGTGTGGGTCTCTGTCAACAACAGCCTTAGGACCATATGCTTTAAAGGAGAAACACTCAGAAGACCGTGTGTACATAGAGAAGGGCCCTAACCCTCTTCTGATGCAGAGTGGAGAACTTCTTAAATGAGAAGTAACTGAGCATGAATCTCCTAGGTGGAAATGGTGTCCCGGGCAGAAGGAGCATTAGAAAATATGAGGCATGGCAAATTCTCAGAATTACAAAGTGTTGTGTGGCTGCAGTGTGGGGTAGGAGTTGAGTACCAGTGAGAAGCAAAGCAGAAGAGAGAAATGGGGGCCAGATCAGGAAAGGTCTCGAAGTTTATATATATATATATATTAATATATTTTATTGATTTTTTACAGAGAGGAAGGGAGAGGGATAGAGAGTTAAAAACATCGATGAGAGAGAAACATCGATCAGCTGCCTCCTGCACACTCCCTGCTAGGGATGTGCCCGCAACCCAGGTACATGCCCTTGACTGGAATCAAACCTGGGACCCTTCAGTCCGCAGGCCAACGCTCTATCCACTGAGCCAAACCGGTTAGGGCTCGAAGTTTATATTTTATGCTCAAGGAAATGAGGAGCATTGATGTTTCTACCTGAAGGAGTAACATTATCAAACTTGTAGTATTATCAAACTTCCAAAAGGATCATTCTGGAAATGTGGAATTTGGAGTGCAGGGTGGGTAAGTTAGTATGCTGGGGAGAAATAATGCAGCTGATGCAAGGCTAAGGGACAGGAGAGATGGAGAGACAAGGATGGATGAAGACAACAATGAAGAGGTAGAATTGATGGCCTTGTTGACCATTAGGATGAGGGTGTTGAGGGAAAAGGTACAGATGGTCTCCAGATTGATGATTGGGTGGTGAGGGTGCCATTCCCTAAAATTAGGCAGGAAGTAGACCATGTCCTGGGTGGGGAGATGGTGGAGTCTGTGATTAGCCATGAACTTCTCTTGGCTGTCTCCACAATGGGTACACTGAAACTTACATTAGCATCCAGGCCAGGAAGCTTGGAATGTGCTAATATAATTTTGCTTACTTGATTTACTCATGCTTACTTAACTTATTATCGATCTTCAGGTTTCATCACTGACGGGAACTCCAAACTGGTTGGCAGTGCTCAGATTCGCCAAGTGAGAGTCCGGGAAAACTCTTGCCCTCTTGCTCCCCGGTTGTGGACTTCTCTCGATGGGTGCCATGCACCATATTCCCTGGATGTTGAAGACCTGTCAGACTATGGGGAATGCTGGAATGCCTCCAGCCTCAATAGCAGCAATGGCTTCTCCCAGGCTTGGCAGTACCAGAGCCAGAGCCAGCGCCAAGGGTATCCCATCTGGGGCAAACTCACTGTGTACCGGGGAGGAGGTTACGTGCTCCCCTTGGGCACCAATCGCCAAAGTGCAGCAAGGTAAGGCTAACTTGATCCATGTAGAGCTGAGGAAAGACATTTGCTGGAGTCCAGCTCTGCCTGTCTTGTGCAGGCTTCAAAACAGAGCCGAGCCAACGTCATTTATGTCATTGTGGGGGATTCAGAATCATTCAGGTCATATTTTTCAGGACCCTGGAAACTGCAATCTCGGAGTTGGAAGGGAAGTGCCCCTTCAGCATTCTCAGCCTGGTGATCTCAGTCTAATGCAGGGATGGACAGCTCACACTTACACAGAGCTGTCCACCAGGCAAGTGAGAGTGGTTAAGGCTTAACCTTACAAAGAATCATACAGGGTCTATATGCTACTGTTTCATGGATGTTGGCAGAAGACATGAGACTCCTGAGTTAGAGACAAAGGACTTTATTACAGCAAAAGCTTGTAGCAGAGCTTCGTGGTAGTTTGAGTCAGTTCCCTGCCAAGGGCCATGGTGGATATTTGCATATGCAGTGAGTTGCAGGACCAAAGAGAAACAGTGAGCTTGGAAGTGTTCACAGTTTTCACAGTGGCAGAAGCCTGCTGTTTGTCCAAACAAAAATGCCACCTCATCCCTCAAGGTTGTCCACTGCAAACACAGCCCTGAGAAATGGCCTGGGTGAAGCTCAGCCAGGGCCTAGGATTTCTGGAACACCCAGCACAGGGACGGTCAGGGCCCATGCAGACTGCCTCTCCCAGTGCATTCTAGAGTCAGAGAGCCCTAAATTGAAACCCTGGCACTGCTCCTATTAGCTGTGTAGCCCCAGTCTCTGACTCTGTATTATTACAACACTGAGATTGTTTATGATGGCAGGGCCCCCATCCTGCCTACAACACAGGTAACAAACCCCTAAGAGAATAACTGGCAGGTGTCCTCTGAGATTAAGGACAGGCCCAAAACAGTCTATTTCAGATTGAGGTCTTTTCCTACCACTTGGAATAACTGATACTCTCTCCCTGCTTCAATGTACCAAGCAAGATGCAGACACACAGGAACAGGGCACATTTTAAAACAGTCCCATCATTATTGTTCTAAGTAATAAAAGCTATCATTACTTTGCCCACATACACACACCCATTCCATTTTCTGTTCACAATGATCCTGACGCTGGTGTAAACACCATTGTACAGTAGATGAGGAAACTGAGGCCTAGAGACGTTATTAACTTGCCACAGGGCAGTTCGGATTTAAGATCCCTCCAGCACATGCCCTTTCCACCACACGAGCAGGCAGATCTCTAGGAACTGGTCTCATGGGAGTTGCCAGCCCAAGATGAACATCGGCAGCTGCAGGTGCTCCTGCCTAAGCCCCTAATGTCTTATGTGGCTCCTCTAACACCACAGTCCCCAAACTTTACAAAGCATCATAATCCCCTAAAGGGCTCATCAAAGCACAGATCCTCAGGCCCCATCCCTCTCATTTCTGATTCCTGAGGTCTCGGTGGGGGCTGAGAATCTGCATTTCTAACAAGTCTCCAAATGATGCCAATGCCAATGCTGCCAGTCTGGGGACTCCACTTTGAGAACCTCTGCTGTAACATTTAGGAAACACTGGTGCCAACACATTACACCATGGAATGGGAAACTGGGACCACTCCCAGGAGCAGCCCTAAGGCCTGGTGGCCCAGGGAGCAAAACAGAGGCAGAGGAAGTAGTTTCAACAGAAAGCCCTGGCCTCCTCCCCAGGGCTGAGAGGACAGGGAGCCACTTAGGGAACAGATGCTCCTAAATGCCCTTCTTCCCGCAGAATTCTCCAGTATCTCTTTGACAACACCTGGCTGGACAGCCTGACCAGAGCTGTGTTTGTGGAGTTCACTGTCTACAATGCCAACGTCAACCTGTTCTGCATCATCACTCTGACCCTGGAGACCAGCGCCCTGGGTGGGCATTTGCCTGTGAACCCATCTGCAGTGTTCCAGAAGATAAACCCTCCCCTCCCTCTGGGCTAGGGCCCAGCCCCCCAGTGCCAGAGCTCCAGAGCAAATGGTGGTCTGGGAAATCCAGGGGTGGTTCTTGGTTCTCCCTGAGCACCAAAGGCAAGGCTTTAGGGTTGCTCCAGCCTTATTCCTAGCTGCCCCACACCCCCCTCTTTGGCCTTGTCTCTCAAGTTATCCTAAGAGAACCAGCTGGGGTTTGAAAGCAGTTCATATCCCTGAGCTTCCCACTCTGGTGGTGGTGGGGGCTGGCAGTGAGGGGCTAGAGAGGGGGTGATCTGGTAACAGATACCTTCACCTTAAACAATATTTTACTTGTACCTCAATCTACAGTGTGAAATACATTTTACATCATAATCCAACACACACAAATATACACAACTGAGATAACAGCTTCAAAAATATTTCCCTTAACTACGTGATACACTGATATTTTGCATTCTGTTCCGTTTTCTATTCTAGTTCTTTCTCCCCATCCCCCCACCTTTTACCATCTTTTAATGCTAATCACAATTTATTGAAAACATTGACCTAAGGTCTCTTCAGCTAATAATCAATTTGTCTAAATGTCAACCACCTTTCTTTTGATAAGGAAACATTTTTAAAACATGTATTACTTTTACAAAACATTGTAATGTTTGTAGATTTTTTAAATTTTCAGAACTTTGAAAACACCTTCCATTATCATTATCATATCAATTTCCATTCCCCATTGTCAAAAATTTATTTCAAATCCTTATTTGGAGCTTATTTGTATCTCTTTTGTTTTCCTATTTATTTTTGTCATCTTTTTGGCTTTTTTAAAAATATGTTTTTATTGAATTTAGAGAGAGAAAGGGGGAGGGGGAGAGAGAGAAAAACATTGATGGATGAGAGAGGACCATTGATCAATCGATGGTCTGCCTTCTGCACACCTCTACCAAGGATGGAGACTGCATGCGTCCTGATCAAACCGGTGACCTCTCAGTGCATGGAACCATGCCCAACCAAATTTGCCACACTGGCCAGGGCCATCTTTTTTGCTTTTTCAGGACCTCTAAACAACTTACACCTGATTCAATTATGTATTTCTACAAATAGAAAGTGTGAGATAGATGTCAGATCTGATTGATGCAACAGGCCACTGATGTCAGTAAGGACTCAGGCTGTTTACATCTTTCCATCTGCCATTCTTTGGGTTGGCTTTGCTTTTTTTTAAAAAAATCCTTACCCCAGGACATGTTTATTGACTTTTAGAGAGAGGGGAAGAGAGAGAGAGAGAGAGAGAGAGAGAGAGAGAGAGAGAAGCTTCAATGTGAAAGAGAAGCATCAATTAGTTGCCCAATCAGGCTAGGGATCGAACCTGAAATCAGCTATGTGCCCTGACCAGGAATCAAACCCATGACCTTTCAGTGTATGGGACGATGCTCCTATAAACCCAGCCAGGGTGGCTCCTGGCCACCCAGCCAGGGCTTGGCTTTGTTTTTGTAGGCAGTAGCCTTATTAATCAACTTAGTTTTTAAAAAATAATTTCAATACCAAAAAAAGAGGGGAAAAACACAAATAGATAAAAGATGATTCAGAAGAAGGTTGAAGTTTAGGCATATTGGTCAATAGATGAATGGATTCTTGGTGAACTGTATTTAGATGAAATGTCTTTAAATGGGCCACTGTAAAATAAACTGATGTTAAGTGGGTGGGTATGCTTTGGCTGAAGATGACTGAGTGCACACACGGCAAGCACCAAATGCAGAGGGGAAGGGGGGAGGTCTTCCACTGCAGCTACCTTTGTCCCTTCTGATCTGTCCATTATCTTTGACATCATTAATTGTCCCCATTCAGTCCCTTGGGTTTGTGGGTCTGAAGGACCTCTATCTTCTCTTTTGACCCCAGCCAGCCTCCAGAAAGGCTTGATTTTGAGTCATCCCGCTGATGACTTCTGGTTAGAAATGATGGCTCTGATTGGGAGCAGAGGGTTGGAGTGGGGGCAGTTGGGGGTAGTGGTGGTGAAAGAAATGCACTCTGCTTCCCAGGAACCTTCTTTACATGCACAGACCTACAGAGCCTGCGCCTGTATCCCTTCACTGATGGCTGGCACCCCTTTGTGGCGGCGGCAAAGGTAATCTACCTCCTGTTCCTCCTCTACTACATGGTCATGCAGGTGAGGGTAGACTTGTAGCTCTATGGGCAAGGGAAGGAAATGGTGGTGTGCCCGTTCCCTCTCCCACCCCTACCCTCTTCCCTGGAGTGGGGTCTGAAAGAGGGGGAGGAAAAGGTTCTGTTTACCTGTTTGTCAAGGCAACCTTTGGGGGCCCTTCTGCTGGTCCTGAGGGCTGAACTAGTTCAGGAACCCAACTTTGGCACCTCAGAGGAACTAAGAACTCAGAGGGTGGTCCTTCCTGGGTAAGGAAGGAATTGGAGCAAGGCTCCCATTTCTGCTGAACTGAGACTTTCCAAAATGCTGGAGGGGATATTCTCCATAGCTGGGGCTTCTCTGAACTCATATTGTGGGGGTTCTTAGCACTTTTGTTCTCATTGTGATCCCTGAGAATTAAGAAACATTCCCCTTGCTACCTTTACCACCATGTTGCACAATGAAGTGCAGAGGTTGATAATGATGATGGGAACACATCCAAAGCATATTAGATGTTCTTTTCCAAAAATGGAAACCAGATACCTAAAAGTGGCATCTTAGCTCCCCAATTCCCTGCTCCAACCACCACCACAGCAACCACTTTAAGAAATATACTTTGAGGGCTTACTAAGAGGCAGGGATTTTGCTAAGAACCTTATGAGGATTTTCTCCTTTAACAACACCAGGAGAAAGGTCCTATGGATCCATTTCAGAGTAGGAAGCTAAAGTCCAGATGTGAAGTAATTCATCCAAGTTCAGAATTAAATCCTGAGAGTCTGACCCCAGATCTTGACACTCAACCCCTATGCCACACCATCAGCCTCAAAACTGGCAACACACATGCTCTCTAAGCATCCAATTCAAACTCACCAGTCAACAGTCATCAAATAGCAACTTATGTCTTGTTTCTCTAAGAACATCATAGGAGGCCCATTTACCACCTTTCTGAGCTTCATTCCTCTTCTCTCAATTGCCCCTAAGATGGTTCAGGGAACCACCTTGGGAGTAAAGACAAGCACAGTTCCGGCCATAGCCTTTCATAGAACCTCTGGTTCCTTTCCCAGGGCAAGCTTATGAGGAAGCAGAAGTGGTGCTATTTCCACAGCAAGTGGAGCCTTCTGGAGTTGGCCATCATCCTGGCCAGCTGGAGTGCCCTGGCAGTGTTTGTGAACAGGGCCATCCTAGCAGAGCGAGACATCCAGCGATATCGGAAACAAGGGGAGGAGTAAGTGGCTCTGCCTCAGTCCCAGGTCCCACCTCTGGCCCTGCTTCCTCCAGCTCTGTGTGGCTCAGGGTTGGAATGGGGCCTTTAAAGTTGTGTTGACCCCCAGAGGATAAAGGGCCACTCTAAAAATTAGCTATAGCTATCGCTTAGATTTAGGTTTGTGGTAAAAATGTCTCAGTATCAATAGAATTCTTTGAGCTCAAAAGTTATCAGAAGTACTTTTATTTTTATTTAAGTTGATTGTAAACCTTATGCAGAACAGTTATTTTAAAAACTTAAAGATGGTTTAGCTTTTGAAGGGGTCTGCAAAAGATGACACGGGAGCTAAATCCAGCCCACCACCTGTTTTTGTAAGTTATGTTTATTGGAACACTACCTCACTCTTTCATTTATGTGTTATCTATGGCTGCTTTCCTGCTAAACTGGGTTAAGTCACTGGGACGGAAACTGGCCCACAGGGCCTCAAATATGTGCCATCTGGCCCTTTACATTAAAACTCTGTCTACTCCTGCTTAGAGAACAAAGCCTGAGTTCTAGGAAGGGACAATGGTGAGTTTGTTTTAGGTCACACATGACTGAGATTATTGGCAGCCAGTGTGATTGTTGTACCAGCACTGTCCCCACACTAGCCATGCTTTATGATCCCTTACGATGATCTAAACATGTTCTTTTTTGACATTCACACCGACTGGTTTCTTGATTAGATGGATTATAAAACAATTTTACAGCAAGAGAGTACTCTTTTTTACACTGAGTGTCAGAAAACAAAAGTAATCTGCCACTTTTGAGAGAAACCTGAGTATAGTTAAGTTTGGCATTATAGGAAACCCTCAGTTGTATTTTGATTAGTCAAATAACCAAAGTTTGTGTTTATTTCAGAAACTTGCAAATTTTGTTTTCTTGTTGAAATAGATAAACCATTTTGTAGTTAGGTCCTGAATTTGAAAAGTACTTTTTAAGACCAAATTATATGCTTCATATTCATAGTCTCCCTTTAACCCAATGGTTCTCAGGCCTACCTCATCAGCAGAATCACTCAGGGGAATAATTCAACCCTGATGCCCAGGCCTACTAAATCAGGATGTCCAGGGACAGAGCCCCAGCACCAGTATTTTTAATGTTTTCCTGTTTTTTTCTAAAATGTACATGAGTTTGAGCTCACTGCTTTAATTAGAGCTAATTGCCATCATAAACGAGGGCTTACATGGTTATTAGTTCCACATATATGAACAATTAGATGACATGAGAGAAGGTTGGGTGTTTTAAAAGGGGGAGGAACAAGGTGCTGCAGGAGCCGAAGGAGGAAGCCACCATCCATACAAGCCGCCCCAGTCTGCTCAAAAAAGGGAGGAAAGTTCTAGAAGGCAGATTAGGTAGAAGGAAGACTTTCACTAGGGCATTATATATGTATATGAAATGCTTTTAAAAACTTGAGGTCATATAATTTTGTTCTATAGACTGTTCCCATCTATGTCATTAAATATAGATCTATGCCATTTTTAATGACACACCAACATTAAGACTGAATTTAGAGTGCAAAGGCATGAGAGAGGCATGAACGGCAGGGTGGGATAGGGGAAGAACCTGGAGTTTGGAATCAGACACACCTGGATTCCAACTGTCATTCTTCCACCACCAGTTATGCCTCTAATTATGTCGCTAGCTGTGTGACATTATGCTAACTCTCTGTCCTTACCTGTAAAGGGAGACAGCATACTCCCTCATCTGGTGGTTTTCAGTCAGATGACACAATGCAATTACTAGTAAAGTTCATTAGGCCCTCACTTAGCACAGCAACAGGATGGTACTTCCATCCCTCCTTCAAATGTAAGGGCAGTAGGGACATTCTCTCAAACAGGAACAAAGTACCACAAACTGGGTATTAAAACAACAGAAGTTATTGTCTCAGAATTCTGGAGGATAGAAGCTCAAAATCAAGGTGTCAACGGGGCCATGCTCCCTCTTAAGGCTCTCCAGAGGAGTCTTCTCTTCTAGGTTCTAGCGTTTGCCATCAATGCTCAGTGTTCCTTGGTTTGTAGATGCATCACTCCAATCTCTGCCTCTGCCATCTTGGCCTTCTCTCCTATGTCTTTCTCTTTGTGTCTTTTTCTCTTGTCATATTGGATTTAGGGATCACTCTACTCCACTATGACTTTGTCTTAATTAATGACATCTGCAACAGTTCCTATTTCCAAATTTGGTCACATTCTGAGGTAATGGGTGTTAGGACTTCAATGTATCTCTTTAGGGGGCACAAGTCAACCCATAACGGGTATCATGACCCCAAAAATGTTTCTGGATCAAATAAATGTGGGAAACACTGGATTATAAAAGGCTATCCAAATTCTTTAGCATGGGAACTGTCAGAGCTTTTTAAAAATTATTATTACTTATTTATTTTATTTTATTTTATTTTATTTTATTTAGTGTGTGTGTGTGTGTGTGTGTGTGTGTGTGTGTGTGTGTCAGAGCTTTTAATATGGTAAATGTGCATTGTGAGTCTCCTGGGATGAGGTGAGCAAGAGCAACAAAGTGTGTAATGATTACCAAACATCTTTGACGAAGGCTGCAGCCAGTGATTCTCAACCTTGGCTGTATGCTAGAATCCCTAGACTTCATCCCAATATGTCAGAATCTCTGGCTGGGACCAAGGTGTCAATATTTTTTAAGCCACCCAGGTGATTCCATTGTGCAGTCAGACTTGATAACCATGCCCCTAATTCTGAGAACTACAGATCTAGATAGTAAAAGGCTTTCAGATGTCTCTGTGGATAAGTGCATATTTCCCCTCCCCCATGCAAGGGAAGCACCTCACACATCCTCTCCAGGTCACCCTGCCTTGTCCCTCCTCACACATCCATTGTAGCAGATACCCTAGGTTGCCTGCTCCCAATCCATTCTATGCTTTCCTCCTTGCTATCAGAATCTTTGAGACCACGGGGAACAATCTGAAGATGGCAGAGCAGAAAGATGAGAGGAGCATGCATCCCTGATGAAGTCTTTCAAGAGCTGATGTAATCAAGGCTGGAATCAAACTACTGCCTTTTATCTGGGCGAGAGCTTAAACGTCTTTTTATAATGGTTCAATCAGTATCACACCCTGATACCCTGACAATCAAAAACCTACAATCTATTATAAAAAGAGAGCCATAAAACATGCAATATACATAAAACCTTGGTGATTTCATTATCTTCCATCCACCCAAAAACCCATGACTATTCTCTATTGTGTCAGGTATGGATACAAGCTATATATGCAGAGATGCTCATCAGATAACCCATAGAAAGGTGTACACACGTCTCCCGATAAACCGGTACAGAAACCTACCCAGAGACACACAAAACAGTCTATTTTAAATAGGAAATCTGGAGAAGTTGTAAATTCTCCATTTCTCTTTCTCAACTTTCCCATCTACTCTCCACTTCTCTATTGACTGCAAATATTCAAGCTGCCAACTCTTTCAACCACATTATGTGTTAAGGAGAGACTGTACCATGATGTGACCCCTGACAACCTTGAGCTAGCTATGTTCAGGCCACAAGAGATTGCTTCCCTTAAATCTCCTCACAGACTATCTGAGCCATCATTCACATACGCCCCAAAGCTTGCTGGCTCCTGGAACAGGCTGTCACCCTGCCCAGGGCAAATAGGCATTTCTCCCTACCTGGAGCAGATTATGCCCCAGTACACCTACCCATCCTGCTCTGTTCTATATCGTTCTTATCACCTGCCATGCCCCACTGCACTCCTAGGCAAATTAAACATTTTGAGCCTCCAGCTCATCTATGAAATGAATTTAATACTTACCAGAAAGGGGTTTGGCGAGGATTAAAGATGTTTGCACAGTCCTGTGGTGAGCAGTTAGACAGACATGAGCAGAGCAAGGACAACGGGCCAGGTACAGAAGGTCACCAAGGCAGAAAGCCCTGAGTGCCTAGCAAAGGACAATTGTAGGGTGGGACCTGGTCCTCAGAGTGACTTTTCCTCCCCTAGCATATCACTGGTTATGCGGTTTGGACCCCCTGACTTTTCCTCCCTAGAGATAATATCTAGGCATCAGTAGTATTTCAGTTCCAAGCCCAGAAAAGCAACACAACCAGACAAGCAACGCCAAGGCTGACCTCAGGACCAGCTGCACTGAATAATGACCCACCTGCCCTGGCACCAACCAACCAATCAGTGGAGACCCTGACCCTGAAAGGACACACCTAGAAAGCTGCTGAATATTCTATTGTGATCTTCCCCTGGACCACCCTAAAATCTACACCCTTAAAGTCCTTAGGACAGGACCCAGGGAGCTCTCCCTCCTCTGGGGGGGCCACCATCTTGAAAAGGCAAAGGCCAACCCCTCCCTTTGAATTAGCCAATCGAGAAAGACTGTGCACCTGAGCTCCAATCAAGAGTGAGGGACAGGTCACATGCGTCATGGATTCTAAAGCCGAGAGGACCACCTACTCGGTGTGTGTGTGCTCCCAGGCCATGTATGCGCACCTTTCTACATAGAAGATATTTGCCTTGCTGCCTGGCTCCCGAGTATGTTTTGTGTTCTACCAGAACCCCTAATTGGGGGGCTTGCCTTATTTCTTATACCTCCAGAATTTAGCAATTCTTAGTTCTAATAATGGCAATACATTTCTTTGCATGAACTCAATAATACTAGTTTCCAATTGTGGTTTTATTAACCAAAACTTTGACTAGAATGTCATGTCTGAGAGCCAGAAACACACAATGAAGAAAAGAAAGTCTCTTTAATAAAATTTTTCTCTTGAAAAATTGGAAAGCCACATACAAAAGAATGAAACTAGATTACAGTTTATCCCCATGTACAAAAATTAATTCAGAAGGACCAAAGACCTAAATATAAGATCTGAAACAGTAAATTACATAGAAGAAAACATAGGTACTAAACTTATGGATGTAAAGAACATTTTATGAACTTGACCCCAAAGGGAAGGGGAGTAAAGACAAAAATAAATGAATGGGAGTGTTTCAAACTAAAAAGC